AGAGAAGAAACAACTTAGCAAAACCGGGGGAGGAAAAGCGCCTACACCGCCTAAAGAGACTTCACGAAGGATAATTGAATTAATTGGAGACGAACCTGGATTCTCAGGGATTGAAGGTGGTATTGAATCGGGGAAGTTAAATTATTTTCAAATTATCATTATTATGATGGGTGCATTGCGCAACAGAATATTATTTTATATTTTAAAAATGGCGAGGTACACACCCTCTCAGGTGTCATCCTCACTTCCGAGTGCAAAAGGTGAAAACGCCGTTTCAAAATGCCAAAAGTCCTTTCAATAATGGACCTTGTGATTCGCAGTGCTCGGTTAAATCTTCTTTGGGCTTGGGTCTGTGGCTCGGGGTAGGGTGTCATTAGGTAGGGTAAGCATGCATAGCCACTGTCTCCTATGAGCACACCGTTTTCAAAATTTGTGTGCTCCAACTGATGCCCGATATGAGACGTGCGAAAGATGTGACTATCATGAGTGGATCCTGGCCACTTTGCAACAAGGAAAACCAGCGATGTTGTAAAAACCTTGTTTTGCTGCATCTCGTTCTTCCTGAGTTTGAGGAAACCGTATAAAGTTGTTTACTCTTCGACACAAAGCCAGAGTGACTCGACGAATAATACGGCTAACCGTGGACTTATCTAATCCGGCAACTGAATCTCCTGTCACCTGTTGGAAACTTCCCGATGCCAGGAATCTCAATGTAATTAACACCTGTCGAGTTGCTGAGACGGCATGATTTCGGTTTGTCATGGGAGCTATGTCGTTTTCCAAAAGACGTGTTATATACTCAATGGTTCGTCTACCAAAACGATATCGTTCTCGTAGCTCGTGATCATTGTAATAATGCAAAATATTATCTATTTCACGCCTAAAATTTCTCTCAGCGTGCATATTAACTCGTGGAAGAACATAAAAAGGGATGCCAGGTACTCTGTACATCGCCATTTTGTAAAAAAAAGTAAAAATATAGAGAATTTATCCGCCGTATAGCGACTTAAACGGTCTCGAGAGACCGTTTAAGTTTATACAGTGGATATGGAAAATTTATTTGTTGGATAGCGCTAAACGGGCTACGAACAACGGGATTTTTCAAGCGTTTAAATTTTATACGGTGGATAGCGAGTTAAACGGTGGTTAGCGACTTAAACGCCGTACGAACAACCAGCCCCTGGAACCAATAGTATGCGTAATGCGCATATATAAGCTTCGATGTTATATATCTTAAATTTCGAATGAGATACAGATACTAAATCTGGGCAAAAGACAGTAATTATAGTTGTCTAATAACATACCTTCTATGATAATTCTTACATCGCATTCAATAGAAAATATCTGATAATTGCTCATGAAACTGTAGTTGTAGTTCCGCGTGTAATTACCAACAGAGAACCATCCACTGGTTGTGTTAGGATTGCTTGCACTTGGCGTTGTCGGGCATCTGGGTTTAGGCTCTAACCAACTGATGAAAGCCTTGTCTGTTTGACTGGGGACAACCCTCGTAACAATTTGCGGGCACGGACATGAACAAGCTAAATCAGAAAAGAAAATGATATTGAATCGTAATAAAATCGTAAAAAATATGCGAAGTTTTAAGCATGACAAACCATGTGATAGATCAGAAAGAGAAATGTTACAAATACTTACGTACAACAGTTAAATTTACAAAACATTTAAATTGAACCACTTTGCCATCACGTTTATACGAGTACGGGTAGGTAATCACGTGTCTGCCCAGTTGAAAATTTGCAGGAGACGCGTCATAAGGTGGATCAACCTGGCCTCTCTCATAATCAGAACATGTGACTTCCGGTATTGTCCAATTGACCAATCCAGCATTTGCTCCGGGTCTAGTATAGGTAGTGAACTCATAATTTCTACCATATTTACATTCGCATTTGCCTGGATTGAGGGAAATTAAACATAGTAAAATTAGCATACATTTAGATACCCATAAAATGTTGGAAATCTTGCAGCGAAACTTGATAATGTTACGAATAAAACTAAATATTTAGTTTCATTCGTAACATCAAGTTTCGCCTTGCTTGAATTAACTGATGGCCTTCCGCTCACATGCTGGATTGACCCGTGAGCGCTTTCTCTGTAAATAAGTTTTTGGCACTTCACTCGATGCAGGTAAATTCTAAAGGTTCAAATGGTCTTCAGCAGTAATTTCGAGTGGAATTATACACACTTCAAATTCAAGCCAGGAACAGTTGATGAAAAATGAGTCGACTGTCGGTCCTCCTCTCTCTGCGTTGTATATATAAGTATTGTATTTCATTCTGTCTAAAGATGACTTCGAAATGAAGTCGAAAATTGCTTGATTCATATTTTGACTCTCAAGATGTCCTGTTTATTCGGAATTTGTTTTTATTTCACTTATCTATTTTTTCAGCAGGTCGTGTTTTTTTAACTCTAGGAATGATTTCTTGCTTTAAAATGGCAATGGCATCAACAGAAGATGAATCTATTTTAGTTTTCGTATTGATTGCATGTTTTCTTTTCATGAGATTCCTTCTCTTTCCTTTTAAAAATCATTCTTGACCACGATAAAAAGCTTACATATTAAAATAGCAGCAGCACTATTAATCAGAATAGTCAAACTTAGCTACAACATATTTATTATATACGTCAACGCAGCTAATATTGACTCAACTATAATTTTAAAATTTAATTATATCTAAAAACTTTTAAATATAAACTGGTATAGTAAAAAAAACTTTATTATGCACAAGCCCCTACATCAGATTTGACAGGTATGGTGGCATAGCGCTGATATCATCTGTCTGTTCTTTCCGGTGTTATCCGTGAAAGAAAAGAAAAACTTAATAAGAGATATAAAAACAGTCACCAAAACTTACCGAATGACGTGCAGGAAGCATCGATCGTTTCATTCAAACCTTTTTCCAACGTGTCTAATTTTACTTCAAACACTCGCTCTGGTATCGGCCGTTGTTTGACACGAAGTTTAAAGCCTGCAAAGTTGAACTTTCCTGAAATGTCGCCTGTTAAACCGACAATTGTGACATTCTTTTTAACATTTATACATTCATTTAGGAGTCTTTCTTGGTCTTTTAAAATATCGTGTGTTCCGTTCCTTAACAATAGCAACAAAATAACGTCGTCAACATCAGGACGGAAATTCTTAGGACTTGTGTCGTTTAACACCTTTAAAAAACATAACAACAACTATAAGAATTACCCTGAAATCACAAATTTCTACAGTCTCATATTTTTTTCGCCTTTCCTGGGAATACAAAATTTCCTTAATCTCTTGGTAGTTCTTAAAGGGCTCTTAATCATTTGCTCGTTTCGTGATAATTAAACTTGTCAGAAAGCAATTGTGATTTTCACCTTTATGGATTAATTAGGGCGTGCATGTGGGAGCCAGCAACATTTTATTATACTTACACTGTTCACAAGATCACAAACACTTTTTCTGGTCGCGTTGATATAGCTATTTGAATCATTGTAAACATGAATACTATCCAGCCACTTTAACAACTGTGTTTTATTCCTAATTTCTCCAACTTTCAATAATTCTGTTGCTGTGTTATTTGAGAAGCTGATGGAACCCAGATGGGTGCCTTCTTCCTCCACTCCCAGTTTTTCATTTTTAATAAACCTCTTCAGGATTTTGACATGGGGATTGAGACCAACGAAATTGGAATTGTCCCAGAGGACGAGAATATCTTTTTTGCAACCTTGAAAGTAAATACAATGTACTCGTATAGGTGCTTTAAACCGTATTTTAATTATTTTAACCGGATTTCAAGATTTTTTGTTACAGCGGACCTTTATTTGGGAGGCGATCAAGCCGCACAAACCAACGAACACATCAAAATTAATTATTAAGTCTAAATCGTCAGTTCAGTTCGACAATTAAAAAAGCGAGGCATTCCATGAATCACCCATTATTATGTCATCAGCTCTGTGCAACAATGGGAAATCAATTTTAAAATTAAACTGAAACATTGTCAATGAAGTTGATAATAGTTTGGCTAAAGTATCTGAGAAAAACCAGCCGTTTGCAAAGGTTATCATTGTGGTTTGCAAGGTACAGCAGAAATCCAATTCGGACGGCGTCCATGCATGCCTGACTATGGGTACTTTCCTTTATACGATAAAAACGGCCAGACCAATCCGGTTGTATTTCAGTACAGACAGAATAATTTGCGTGGTATTTTAGGGTGTTCGAAGAAAATGCATTCAATTATATCGTTATTTACATCCAGTTAGCACAGGAAATGCAGCTTCACCGCTATACTCTTAACGAAATAGTTTATTTCAATTACCGTCTGACCAAAATTTCATATGACCGCTCTGACCATTTTGACCGCCTAAAGGAAAGCGTCCAATGAGCAACTTACACTCAAAGAGTGAAGAATTACGCTACTCGAACCAGAAGGTAGTTTATTTTCAATGGCAATGATTATATCAAAAACACTCAAGTCAATTCCATAAAATATTTTAATTTTTTGTGTAATTATTTAAAATTATACTAAAACAATTATGACGTCCCCCATGTAGTGTTCTGTGCAGAACCGATACGCAGAAGCCGCTGTAATGTAAGTGTTTAGTTACACTTACAGTTAGTTAATTAATGCATATTTCATTCTATTTATACTTCATTTTATTTAAATTAGTATTTAAATATTACTGACAATTAAAAGAATAAAAGTTGTAAACCTACCTCTTTTCCTGGTATCTTCCTTCTTTGTTCTTTCTGTTTCTGTATAAAAGTTGTGAAACATATCAATAAAATAATACAAATTCAAATCAAATCAATTCGAAACAAACATTATGGTTGTACAGGAACATGTCTAGAAAGGAAAGTGTGATTGACTTGAATTAAGACTTGGGTGTATGACTTCATGAATCGAAACTGTTTTGTTTGTAGATGAGAAGGAAGAAGGAGAGAGTTCTTGAATGTTCTTTATAAACATAATACTTGCCTTTGCCTTCGCCTTCACCTTTACAGGAGCGAACATAAACCATAATATCACATGATTTCTCCCGCCCTCCATACAGTTGAAATATATTCTTGATTTTATTAAAACCAACAGGAAAACTGTGCGGTGATCTTACGTCTGGCTCCACTTTTAGACGACGGAGTTGAAACTTGTGTCGACATGAAATATTTGGCTTCGTCCAAGATACTGGATCTGACAAGTTACCATAAGTAAAACGGTCTATTCCTTCCTCTTGAAAATGACATGTGCATTTGCCCTCTATCAGAAGAAAACGGTAAATTTATTTCGTTTTTTAAAATGACTTGAATGGCAGTTGATTTAAAAGGAAATATGCGGAGTGTATTTTTGAATTGTATGTATGTAAGAAGACCTGGTGGCTGCCTGCATCCCAGCTCGTTTAATTTAAAATATGTTTGGTTAGCGAGAACAACAGTAGATTAATCCTCAGCTGTATACTAACTAGTTGCATGCTAACTAGCCATCATTATCAAGTTATGGTTATAACATTTATATTAAATTAATTTTATTCAATTCTTGTCACGTATACGCAATTATATATGCAAGTTCAGTTAATTAGAGAAATTATCAAACAATTATTTCCATGCACAAAAACAAACATATTCACGACAATTAGACACAAAACGTCATACCCATAGAAGTCAAATAGAAGTCAAAAAATCTCACACAACTCCAAATGGGCTGTTTTATGCTTTATAATGCGTCTCGTCATATTTCATGCACTGTTCCACAGTGTGGCATAATGAAAGCAACACAAATATGGACAAATTTAAAAAGTTGCAATGATTATTGCAGATTCTGCGCGACTGTACTTGATTTTAAAATAAAAAATTATTTACGAAACTATGCGATAAATTTTTCGTCAAAAACATTTTCTTATAGGCATGGCAAGATTTGGCAATTTGCAGAGGATTACAATTTACAGATTGCAGAGGTAACTAATTCCTATCGAATTACAAATCATCTCCTCAACGCCATGCATAAGCCTAGAGCAAAAAAATTAAACCAAAGTACGATCATTAAAACTTACCCACAATGGGACACAACTTTATGTAGTTATTAAATCTTTCATCAAGATAGTGAAATGTCTCGTTTTAACACTGCGATATTTTGATATCATCGTCATTTAAACATTCTCTTTCCCATTGCTTTCTGTCTTCAACAAATTCAGACCATCCTCTTTTACAAAATTCAGACTCTTCTTCTTCCCCAATAACGAGGTTTGCAGCAAAATAAATCATTATAACCGTCTGTAAAACTTCTTTACAGTTGCCAAATATGATTGGTTTACGTCGGCTTCGTTTAGTCCTCATTCTATAAAGATGTACAATGTGTATAGAAAATGTGCAGTCCATAAAATCTAAATAGTTTTGGTGTTAGCATGGGTAATAAAAAACTGGATAGGAAACTGGGCTGACGTAAGCACGACAACATAGTTGAAATTCGTCATGTCACAAGTATTGCGAATATTGGCCAACCGTTACAATGAAGCCAACCTCGCACCGTCCATCAAAGAACAGAATGTGGCATTGTTCCGTAACAATCAACCCGGGTGGCTCTCCAGATCCTCGGTAAAATTAGTACTCAGGCAGGCGGGCACAACCTCTTGCATCTTTCAATAATGAAAAACCCACAACAAAATATTATATTTGGAGCGTTCAATAAAAACTAACAATTTATTTAACCTAACACATCTTGAGACCTATCTCTAAAGGACAGATTATTTATTTAATTTATTATTTGAGAAAGCACCCTTATTTCTAAATTTTCTAAATTTAAATTAAAAGGATGCAATTAAGGTACATTTCATTTTCTCCTTCTAACTATAATTCTACCCAGGCTTGCCTCTTGTAGATAGTTGTAATTTATTCATATATTAATATGCTTGTCAGCTGCTCCATGGAGACATGTTTAGTTTCTTTAGATGTTCGTAATATAATTTCTTTTACTTGACTGTTTTACGTACATTATGCTGTGGAATAATAATAATGATTATGTAACTTTTAAGATTAGGGAAAAAAGGTCAGTTAGCATTAACAAAACCAGTGATAAGACTATTTCATTAGGAAAAACGTTTTTTGCAAGGCGGGTAGCCAGCGTAGACTACAGAACAAAAATATTTTGTTCAACAAAAATACCACAGATTATACTATTTTTTAAGAAAGGGCTACAGTAATCGAATATAGGAATAAAGGAAAAGAATAAAAAACTTGTACCTGCTTGAAAACTATGTTACAACAGCTGCGTCAAATGTTGTTGATATGAAGTTGGTATTTAGTATAGGACTAAGCTTTGAGATATTCACGGACCAATAAATCAGCTTCGGAAATTCCAGAGAAACTGAGAATTTACAGTCTGCATCAGCGTGAGATGTTGTGTTCTTACTAACTCAAAAGATTATTCTTTTTAACACTCGAAAGATATTCCATATTTCCGCGTAACAACGTAATATTCTATATCTTCCACTTTTTATCAAGTATCTACGTCGTTTCCATTGCTTTTATACCTAGCAGGTGTTTGTGGAACGCTGTTTTTATTTTGTGTGCATCATTTAAGAAATAGAAAATATTTTCCGTGTTTCTATATAGTTTAAGTATAAATTTGGAGGTGACCATTGATTTTCCGCATTCTGATTTGTGTCTGAAGTGATATAGTCACCGGCCGGTAACTATAACTTTTTTTGTTGTAAATCAAGTAAGAAATTTGAAGCAATTGCATTTTTTATGAAATTATGTTGATTATTATTTGTAAACACCTCGAAGTTTATACTAAAACAATTCGTCGCGTGAGCCTGGGTGATAACAAACCTTAACTCACTTCGCCTTCGGCTCAATGAATATATAGGCTTGTAATCACCTGGCCTTCCGCGACTAATTGTTTAATAGAAACACGCGGGGATATGAAAGAACGAGGAATAATCCGTGAAGGAACGAGCGTTCGCTTACAGGTTTTTCCACCTTATTTTGAGTTATCCTAAACTCCAATAAGCGTAATTTATAATGAAAATTAAAGCCCAACAAATGACTCAAACAAGACATAACAAAATGTAAAATTTATTGGCTAACGTTTCTTTGTATTGTTCACAACATCTTCAGAGCAATTAAACTTATTTACAAGGATGCATGCATGGGTTCTATTACAATGTCGTACACAATTTTTTTTAAGAAGCTGTTACATATGCGATATTAGAATAGAAGAATAAACGAAGAGAATGAAAACAACTTGTCAGTAATTTATTAGTAGTTATGTAGTTATATACTGACCTGCTTTAAAAACAAAGTTATAGAACAGGCAAAGTGGAGTCGACCTATGGTATTGGCATATAGTACAGGATTAAATTTAGAGATATGTAGATGTTCATTCATGATTACAACCGTTTCTTAGGAAAAATTCCGGTGTATATATATACAGAACCCATGCATCCTTGTAAATATAGGTTTAACTGCTCTGAAGATGTTGTGAATCATACAACAAAACGTTAGCCATTGTTATGTCTTGTTTGGAAGTCATTTGTTGGGCTTTAATTTTCATTTATAAATTACACTTGTGTGCGAGAACTCGAAATAACGAAATAACTCGTTCTTGCATATTCCCGTGTATTTTTTTTTATTATTATAACAGTATTTACCCAGTGAGCCTACATCGCCAAAGCGGTTTTCAGTAGGGCCCTGCTAAAATACAATTATTATATTACATCTATTAAAACTAGTTAAAAAGTTAAAAAGTGCGAATAGTAAAACGTTCATAACCTAGATTTAAAAAGTTGTAAACTCTGACAGTCTCTTATGCTCTCAGGTAAAGTGTTCCACTATTTCTATAGTAGTATAAAAACACGGGAAATATTTTCCATTTCTTAAGTGATGCACACAAAATGAATTTCAACACCTGCTAAGTATAGAAAGAATGAAAACGACGTACTTGATAAGAAGTGGAATATATAGAGTATATAACGTTGTTGTGCGGAAATATTGAATATCTTTCGAGTGTTGAAGAGAATATTGTTTGGGGTAAATAGAAATTGTCGTTGCCTATGATTCGTTTATATTATAGCTAATACATAAAATATTTCATATTTGCTTGGAAATATGGGTTTATTTCTTAACAACCATGAAATATTCTTTTTATTATATATAAACGAATTACATAGGCTAGGACAATTCTTATTAACTTAAAACATATATTAGAAGGCACACTTTTAAAAGCAAGCTTCAGTTAAAAATGTGATTATTATCTTTTGAATTAAATTATCTAGCTAAACAATTAGTATAAAATAAAACTAGCGAAAACTGTTTTTTATTTTTTAAACCCTACCACATTTTAACTCGTGAAAAATTAAACAGTATTTTTACTTACATGTCAGGTTTACCATTATATTTACGCGTGTTTAAGCATAATTTTTCTTAGTCGCCGAAAACCCGATGATTTTATCACTTTTTTACCTAACTGATTTACCTATATGAGCTATAAAAAATTTGCCGAAAAAAATTATAGGGGATGAATGACGATTGATTGTCGAAGTCGATATTGAATTGCTCTGTTTTCACTTGACGAACGAAAGACACTATTGGCGTTACTACGATCCAACGTTAACACCAAAATATTAATGGACGTGTCTTGTGAGATATGATCTGAACTGAACTGATCTATAAAACGTTGACTAATTATTACTGCGTTATATGTTATAAATAGATCGATGAATTCGTTTGATAATGACTCAAATATTTTGCAGTCAGTCGTAAGGCTGAATTAGCACTTATTTTCTTGGCGAAGGGAGAAACGTGTTTGTAACTAAGAAATTGCTTCATCTTGCATGCAATGAGCAACTGAAAATTGGTTAGTGTCAATATAGGCGTTCGTAATACGAGTTTTTTGAGGATAGTTTTCTGCGTTTTCATGCACCAGTAAAAAGGAAAAGTATCAAAAGGCGGTAGTAAAAGTCAAAAATTTTGCTGTATCCTTGGAACCCAAGTTGCAGTAACATACCTGTAGAAAACCAGATCTTTTACTGAAGACTTGCTTCTCTTGATTCGACTGACAACACCTGCGCGCTCTAGACTGAATAGGGACCTTAAGCATGTAGGACGGGAACGCGAGAAGAAATTGAAAAGAAATGAATTATTAAATACCTATGGGAGATTTAGGAGCTGTTTACATGAGCCCGGTTACCCGAGATTCAACGAAGCGTGAGATGATTTTGAGGTATTGAAATGAGCAGATAACATTGATCCTGGCAGTCGTATAATCAGCACAACAATAGCATGTGCTTGTTTTGGTGACATAAAGACTTTATTCAATACCTCAAAGTCATCTCACACTTCGTTGAATCTCGGGTAACCGGGCTCATGTAAACAGCCCCATAGACCTGATCTACGTTCTGTTTACAACGGCAAAATGAAAACGTCGTTTATTACGTCCTATGTAGAACGTCTGCATTTCGCGCAGTGGACGCTATATCGAATTAGGCACTACAGAATTGTCCCTAAACGTAAAAACAATGTTTTCAACGTCTTATTTCTCATGAAATTAGTACAGTTGATAATATAGAAGAACGCTTTACTATAGCATTATTCTAAAGGAGTATTCCAACACGTCGTCGTGTTGCCGTCCTACATGCTTAAGGTCCCTAGCTATTATCCCAGGTGCGTGATGTCTCGTTCTTTTTCTCTTACTTTGAGCCGCGTGATGATTGACATATTACTTTTTTTAAACAATTAAATAAATTCGATTTTAAAAGGGAATTTTGGAAGAGTTATTGGCCCCGACATACCAAAAAATGTGCTATCCTGCAATCAATGAAGTATTTGATCAAGACTGATATCGTACATTTTCAAAACTGCAAAATTCGTAAAAAATTCTTTGATGGTTTCAATAACGTGTATAATTTTCCAACCGAAGATCAATCAGAGTTGACACCCTGGTTCCAGGAGCCCCCTTTATACAGCCTCGTACCCAGGCGCTTTAGTAATGAAATATGTAATGTTGCATTCAGCTATTGTATAAAGATCAGCTGAAAAAAGCCAGCGCTCGATTTTACCTGAACTCTATATAATCGCTGAATTCGTTGTATGTTTTTCCACTAAAGTACTGGGTACCAGGCTATCTTTAATCTTTATACAATTCAGTTTAACTTTGAACAAATATTAAATATAATCTCAATTTGCATTTCTCTGAAATTGGAACATTAACACTTTCTTTATAGGACGGAATCAAATTATTTTACTTTGATGTGGCGTACTTTTCACTGGAAAACGCAGGAGATTGAGAATAGATTCAACAGACAACAGAACAATGGATCAAATAACTGTGATTAAATTAAAGGACGCAATTAACTCATAGGAGGTACATGCAGGACCTTGCAGGTACTGTATCATACTATCAGACCATAGTCATAAGTCATTTAATAGCAAAATACGCAAGTTTGTTGTAATGTTCATATTTGAATTGTAACTATTTTGGACCCTTGAAACAAATTCCTCAATCATTATCATCACCCGAGAGATTGCTCGTGTGAAAATATAATTCAATATTACATGAAAATTACTGGATTTGTCCCCAATTATAATTTGATATATATAAGACAAAATTAAATAAAACCCACCATTTATAACATCGACACATCCAGCATATAAATTGGGGGGGACCCCTATCTAATATGCCTTTTGATCCTAAACCTATCACCTATGGCTTTGATAACCAGACCTCTAACAGATAAGCTAGAAAATGCTCCTATAAGTCCCACTTTAAAATGGACATCGGTTCCTAAAATATGGTTTAAATAATATGTTACATACACCATTATCTTGTTATGTTGGTAAGTTAGTGCCCTCTTTTTTCCTTCTCATAAGAATGAAAACAAAATTTGAGGATTGCTTGTTAGAAATTGCAAATTGAAAAGTTGTGTACTTTGTAATTTTTGGGCTCTATTTTGCTTCTGACAAACTAAACAACATTCCAGACATAACATGATTGAAGTTTTGATTTAACTTATGACTTTTTAATCGTTTCACACAATGTTAGTGGTAATAACACTAGACCAGAGTGTTGAAACGTTGGGTTGTGAATGTAATCTTTGTGTGGTGATTACTTCCATTAACCAAACCAGAGTAGGGATAATAATTGCAATAGATTATATACCTGGTTGCCCTGAACTCATTAACCTCAACCTGTAACTTGTGGATGTTACAACAGACATTATATCATCTTTAAATTTTTCTGTTGTTTTGATCACTGGAGTTTCTTTGGCTCTTAGCCCATTCCAATTTTTTTTTGTTTTGACATTTTATCAGATATTATATAAATGTTATTGATGTCTAAATTATATAATATATCAAAATATCCACCTTCTGCCTTTGGAATTACCTAATATAAGTGAACATTAGAAACAAACATTGAAAGGGTTAAGTGAGCATAGCAAGTAATTTGCCACAAATTAGTGACATTGTATCCATCCCAACAATCAGATTACATTTCCAAAAAGTTCAAGATTAATAAAGCAGCAGAAATACAGGTATAAAATTTTTAAACACTAAGTTGGATTCTCGTTCTGTAAACATGGTAATAGACTTAATTTCATACTGTATGCATGGGAATGGAAAAATATTTTTTAAAGTCAATTGATGCACAATATCAATACCAATACACAATTGATACACAGTCACAATGTTCACTCACAGCTGGTCTCATATTTTTATATCAACAGTAATGCATTGTGTTAGCACAAAGAAAAGCTGAATAATTTATCACATATAATAGATACATCACTGGAAAAATCAGCGCAGAACAAACAAGATTTCAATAACGCACATTTTTTTCAGTACAAGGTCAAGAGAATTAGCAACTTGCAATTGTCGATTCTCGGTTTATGTGACTAGACACTTGGGATAAGGTGCTAGCAGCGACAAGTACCATAAGTTTCCTGTGTATTCACTTACTGTTCTATTCTCTTCACCTGCCCTCCACATTCTGTAGGTTCTGTGGTCAGGGAAATATATCATTCTCTGTCACAATTTGGATGAAAAGAGATAAATTGGTCTTCAATCGAAGACAACCTACCACTGTTAAAAATCCTGCTCAGGAATGATTGTAAACTTTAGTGAATCTATTGTTTGATGACTGTGATTGTAATCAGTGTGATTTCAATTGACTTTATCTATGCGCATCGAACTAAAACTATTTAAATTTTTTATGATTATATGTTTTGAATCTCAGAATTTTTATATACTTTCCTTTTCCAGTGCAATTAATATTTTGACATCGACATGGCAGAAAAACCTTTTACAAAAGAAGAATTGAATTTTTTCAAATTTGCATCGATTGTTCTCAATGAATTCCCAAAATTGTTACGTCAAACATTTATAATAATGTGGGATAATAGGATTGCACCATTTCCTGGTTGTCATGTGTGGGATGATTCACCCGCTGTTCGGAACCTTCTTCTCATTAGAGAGGGTGGAAAAACTAATATACCAACAAACAAGTCAATAAATGAATGGGATTGTACTGCTTTGTTTCAAGCAATAATTTACTCCAAGATTTTTGGACTAACTACCACAAAGGCCACCGAGACACTCAGTCAACAATATCTAAAGAAGAAACCGAATCCTTTTCATTCCACCTTGATCAGTCCAACTGGTAAACAAGATGAATCGTTAACTTTAGCCATCGACCAACTTCGTTTGCTCAGAAATATCTTATGCCATATTCCCAAGCCCTTCCTAACTAAAATTGAGTTCGACCAGTATGTTCAAGTTGCCAAAGATGCATTTGCAGTCATAGGAGTTGCGTCAGATCGTATTGATGAAATCAGCTGCCTTGGAGAGGAAGACTTTCCAACTAACAAAATGAATGAATTGAACGAAAGAATTAAGGACGAACTACAACAATGCAATAAATTCCTTGAAAATGAAGTAATACAAAAATTATCCGATCAGGAGGAAAACATGGATCTCGTTTTCCAGAAATTGGATGAGATAAAAGAGAATATCAAGAGTAGCGGCAGAGGTAAATATAATTCATTTTATTCCATATCTTAGGAGATTAAAATACTCGTTTATTATTTCCTTTGATTATGAGTCTGCTGCCAATTTAATGCCCGTCGTGCCAATTAATTTACCAATCTGGAACCAACACGCCAGTTGAACAAGTACGGTGCAGATGCATTAATTCGGTATTCGGTAATAAAGATGCATTTTCCAAACCAAAAAAATATTCCACATACTCTTGACGTCCTATATAAAAATCTAAATCTCTTTTTGTCAACAACACGACGACGTCCTCGAACCAGACCTCACGCAATATTTTGACGTACTCTTGACGTTCCCGTCCTGTATCTAAATCTGTCGAATAAACTTTTGGAAATTAATTGATGCAATTTGTATCGTAACGTCTCGTATGAGGTGCAAGTATCCTAGAGCGCTTTCCTCTAAGCGGCAAAAATGCATGGTCAAACCTGTCATACTTTGAATTGAGTTTGTCGTTACGATTTTACCGCGGTGAAACTGCTTTTTTCGTTTTATGAAGGTATAAATGACGATGGGATTAAATGCAAATCACAACACCATAAAATACTAGTAATCTGTCTGTACCTAAAATACCACGGGATCGCTCTTGCCGTGCAAACGAAAGCACCCTTAATGTTTTTCATCTTCGTTCGGTGCTGTTATAACGGTTTCCATTATTAAGATGGAAGTTTTTTTTTATGTTTGATTTTACCGTGAACTGGTTTACAGAAAGAATGCTCTTTAGATGACCGGAACCCTGAGTGTATACATAGGTATTTTTATTGAGTGACAAATAAAAAAGTCACATAATATTATTATAATATCATTATATCACTTCTTAGATACTCAGGTAAAACAAATTTAAGTAGCGATCCGGAAGTGGTAGCCTTGCCGGCGGCCAGAGGTTTTTGAACGATTAATCACGATTTTACTTTAACACTTTACTTTTATTGTCAACAATACGCTAGTGGTGATAATGCAAAGACTCAAATGTGATATTAAATGAATATGTGATGTTGCTACTCTGAGTCATACCTGTCTTTTCGGTCACAGTTTCACCGAGTCTGTCAACTCTACTATATATGCATGGTTACCTAATTAATGCATGCGGCTTACATTAGAAAGCCTCGTGTTTTAAACTAGGCCAGGTGATAACTTATAAGTGGAACTTATAGAAGCAATGTCTAAGGAAATGGCAGCAAAGCTACCTATAGGTAGCGATGGAGTATTTTATTTCTGCGTTATAGTTTCAGGGAAAGAATGCGTTAGTTTAAACAGCGGCTCAGAGAGTGAAAAAAAGGTCGATGATCCTTCAGTCATTGGAACTGCTCTGAAAAATGAAAAAACATCGATAATGGCAGCTGAAAGCCCTGGAATATCCACAGAATCAAAATTGACAGAATTATCAAGGTAACATGAAACTGATTTGACCTCATCGGAATGACTCTTCTCCTTGAATATATGTTTTAAAAATTATTGTCGAAATTCAGCCCTCTTTTTATAAAATGAGTCTTGACACTTGATAGTATTTTACTTTTCAGGCTGATGGGATGTAGTTCCGAGGAAGTAAAGCGCGATTGTAAAACAGAAACTGAACCGCTCGATTCATTCAGAGAGAAAACAAAATTTCCAATCCCAGCTTCAGTTGAGAGACCAGCTGAAAAGACGTGGAAAAGCAAGCTTTATGAATACTGTCAGCGTATAAAAGTAGAGCCAAAATGTTATGAAACCAAAGATGAACGTACTGGGGAATTTACAGGTTTTATAACAATATTAGACAAAACATTCGAAAGCACTGGGTCTTTTCCTACAAAAAAAGTCGCCAAAGAAATTGCTGCGAAAATAGCAATGGAGTATTTTAATGGACTCTCTTCAGAAAGCGGTACTGGAAGTAATGTTAACGAAAAGGAAGGTGCATGTCGGGAGATTTCTACAACTGTGGAAGACGACACAGTATCGTTAACCTCCATGAAACCAGCCAGTCAGTTACAAAGGTAACTTTACCATAGATTCCTTTAATTTGTCTCCCATGTCTTAACACAATCACGTACCCAGGATAATTTTTCTTCATGATAGGGCGTCGCCGGAAATGACTGGTCGGTTTGATATATACAATTTAGCAGATTTTTTTTACTTACAATATCACAATTTTACTTACAATTTCACACAATCTCGTACTGAGGATAATTTCCTTCATGATAGCCTTTGATAGGACGTCGCCGGAAATGACTGGTCGGTTTGATATATACAATTTAGCAGATTTTTTTTTACTTACAATATCACAATTTTACTTACAATTTCACACAATCTCGTACTGAGGATAATTTCCTTCATGATAGCCTTTGATAGGACGTCGCCGGAAATGACTGGTCGGTTTGATATATACAATTTAGCAGATTTTTTTTACTTACAATATCACAATTTTACTTACAATTTCGCACAATCTCGTACTCAGGGTAATTTTCCTTCATGATAGCCTTTGATAGGACGTCGCCAGAAATGACTGGTCGTTTTGATGTTAGATTTGCCTTTCTTTCTAATACAAGGCTCTCCTTGCACTTCTTTCCTTTTGCAATTCCTTTAATTTCAATCGATTGACTTTACAGTCAGTTAACACGAATATATGGATATGCCCTTCTACCTCAACCCCAATCCCCTCCCCCTTCGCCACATCCAATTATCGATGCTAGCTACGCCACTTCTCACAATGTAAAACATAAAAAAACATCATCTACCCGTCGGCAAGGAAAAGTGAGAAGATTATTCCATCATCATCCTCAACCAAACCGATTATAATGTTCATTTTGATAGCGATATACAGAAAATTCAGCTCTTTTTATAAAACGTGTCTTGGCGGTAACTATTAAAGTTTGCTTTTACTGAATTTTACTTTTCAGGCCGATAGGATGTAGTTCTGAGGAAGTAGAGTTCGATAATAATACAGAAATTGAACGGCCTGAATCATTCAGAGAGAAAACAAAATTTCCAATCACACCTTCAGTTGAGAGACCAGCTGAAAAGACGTGGAAAAGCAAGTTTTATGAATACTGTCAGCGTATAAAAGTAGAGCCAAAATGTTATGAAACCAAAGATGAATGCACTGGGGAATTTACAGGTTTTATAACAATAGACAAATTAGACAAAATATTCGAAAGCATTGGGTCTTTTCCTAATAAAAAAGTCGCCAAGGAAATGGCTGCAAAGACAGCAATGGAGTATTTTAATGGACTCTCTTCAGAAAGTGGTACTGGAAGTAATGTTAACGAAGAAGAAGGTGCATGTCGGGAGATTTCTACAACTGTGGAAGACGACACAGTATCGTTAACCTCCATGAAACCAGCCAGTCAACCTAAATTATCTGAATTGGCAGAAAATCAGAATTTACGAAGGTAAATTTTCTTTACCTATTTTTTTTCAATTTCCTTTAATTTGTCTTCCATGTCTTAACACAATCTCGTACTCCGGGTAATTTTCCTTCATGGTAGGGCGTCTCCGGAAATGACTGCTCGCTTTGATCATAGACAATCCAAAAGACAGGGACTGGAAACGCAAGCTAAAACACTTATTATGCTGACGCGCCATCCGTGATATGGCTTTATCACGTAAATTTTTACGTTGCCAGGCAACCGGGCTCTTTATTCAGAAAAAATAATGCAAAGTAGATTCATCAAAAGTTTGCATATTTTGAAAGATTTTTTAAACATAAATATTATATTTCTACCTGACCTTTAAGTCAGATAAATTTTCAAGGTAAGTGCGTTTTCATTTTTCATTTTGAGTGTAAACAGTGATCATAATTCCAGTTCCAGAAGTGTTTGCATCAAAAATATACGCACGTAAAAATTAGGTAGTTTTTTGGGACCCGGTAACTTGAAACCAAAGCCATAAATTTTCTTCGACCGCATACAAATAGCACCTTATATTACACAAGAATGCATTAGGACAGCGACTGCAACTTGTAACTACATGCAGACTAGTGTGTCAGCCCGACAGTAAGAACCCTTTTCAGTTCCAACCACAAAACGATCGCCATGTATGCACTATTAATTTGTAAACTGTAACTACAATTTTGATAAATTGAGCAACTTTGCCTTACATTGTGTAAACAAAATAATACAGGGTATACATCTATGACCCTTTTCAGCCTCCTTTTGCGCTTGAAAAGCTAAGAATCGCCAATAACTGCATGCGTCGTGTTTTGATGTTAAAATGTCACTTTTTTGTTCTCGTAAAAATGTACCTAGTTGGAACCCTATAAAATCACTTCGACCCAATTTCAGAGGATCATTTTTATATATTTGACACAATAAATCAACTAACTGTGCACTTATCGCATTTTCCAACATCGTCTTATATTAAAAAAGTTATTATTATAAAAAAACTGCGTGCGTTGTATTTTTTGCTAAACTGAGTGTCGCCATTGTTTTCATCGAAATATGTGCCTATTAAACTTACTTTAGGCAAGTTTTAGAGCCCCATTTGAAGATAGTTTAAACAAAAAACAATAAACTGTTAACTTATTGCTTTTACAAACATATTCTTTGCGTTATTGAAGCTACAAATCACCAAATAACTGCGTGCGTTGTCTTTTTGCTGAGAAGTGTCTCAATTGTTGTTCTCGAAAATGGAGTTCTACATGAGCCCGCAAAATGTGCCGGCCGTATCACGGAGAGCGCACGCGAAAACAATAGCGTTTCCAGTCCCTGTCTTTTGGATTGTCTATGCTTTGATGTATTAAATTTTGCACACATCTTTTTTTGCTTACAAAATCACAATTTTACTTAACAATTTTCACAGAATCTCGTACCCAGGATAGTTTTCCTTCGTGGTAGGGCGTCGCCGGAAATGACTAGTCGCTTTGATAAATACAATTTTGCACATCTCCTTTTTACTTACAATATCACATCGTTGTACTAATACTGCCAATAATGGAAACTTTGGAACAAATAACAGAGAGCTCTAATTGCTCGTAATATGTTATACTGTTAGAGGTTCCGTTCACATGTATGCGAAGGTTGCACCCTTGTGAAAAAGCAGATGTGTGAGAAAGGCCGCTAAATTGGCCATGTAGTCGGCTCATCTGGATAAATTAGATAACGATGATGCACAATTTAGCACAGGGGCCTAGAAACGAGTCTGTCTTCGAATCTCGTATTTACCTTTCTATTAAAATAGAAAAATGCAACATTCATAATTCAATACTATTGCCAGAGAAGTGCCGGGCGGAAAGCGTATTCGCGGATGATAAATATTAAAGTGCAACATGCAGAATATGCAAACTATCAAATGGTGGCCTACACCAACGAGTGGTAGTCCCTTAGGTCCCGAAACCCGAGGGACCTCAAAACTGAAAAATACTTGTCCGTGCGATTTGGGAAACTGGAACTGACGTGGTGTGCTCCTTCACTTCTGGTCAAAGCTAGTTTCCCGTTTACGTTTGTGACTTTGATTGTTGGTTTAAATTGGTGTGATTTCACGGAAAATTTATATTTTCCTATTAGGTTTAATTGTGGTATATAACAAAAATGTATAATTTTTCAGCCAGATTACACCAAGTCGCAAGACAGCAACCAACCCTTTGGAAAGTAATGACGGGAAAACTTGGAAAAGCATTCTTAATGATTATGGACAGAGCATAGGAGCAGAGATAACGTCCGAAGATATATTGAGTACAAACGTTAGGAAGGAGGTAGCGTTTAGATGTGTGGTCAAAATCTTGGACAAATCTTTCGAAACTGTTGAAAACTATTCTTCTAAAAAAACTGCGAAGGAAATGACAGCAAAAGAGGCAGTTCTGTATTTAAGAGCTTATTCTTCCTTGAAGAGATGCCTGGAGAAAAGAAATTTAGATTATAGTTTGGGATTTGTCACCACCCAAAATCCAATCACAAACAAATATTCTTCCAAGATTTACCTAGGAAAGCGATGCTTTAAGGGAAAAGAGCCGAAATTTACAAGAAACGAAGCTGAGATTCATGTTATCGAAACAGCAATTGATACTTTCGATGGACGTTCCGATAAACCTGGTCAATATTTCCAGGATTCTTTAAAATTGTATCACGAAGAGATTGGTTGTGAAGCATTTCCAAAGTATGAGGTTGCCAAAAGTAGTGACAATGGAAATTTTATTTGTGAAGTTAAAGTAAAGAAAAAGTATGAATTCATCTGCGAGGAGAGAAAAACGTCAAAGACGGATGTACAAAATTATTTAGCAGAAAGAGCGGTTAAAACTTTGGAAGACGAAAAAGTGACCACTCCAGTTTCTGCAGATGCGAAAATTTGGCTGACTTATTTTCTTCAGAATCAAGATGGTGAAACAAAACTAAAGTATGAGTTACAAGAAGAGTCTGGCAAGTTTTATGGTAGTCTGTATTTTTATGTTGTTGTTTCATTTGAAAGTTTGACTTCACAAGCAACAAAAGAAGAGGCAATCGCTAGTTCTGCGATGTCTGCATGTAATGCTATAATGAATCAGCCCTGAATTAAGAACGAATATATCATTAGTAATTCTTTAACATGATTTACGTGTAAATCGTTTTAAAATGAAGCTATGAAGCTATAATCTGGGGAATGGATCAATAGTTCTGCCATATGATAATTAGTAATCTTTGGATGCCTCGAAGAGTTAAATTTAAAATGAATGGAATCTATAGTCTGAAAGAAGTAATCAATAGATCTGCAATGTCAGCATAATGAGCTAATTAATTAACTAAAATGTAATTGATACATAATTTCTAGATGCATGAGGTAATTGTAATACATATATTTTCATGCTATAATATGTGAATCAGCTTTGATTTAGAGAAACGAGAATGTCATTAGTGATTTTAAGATGCTTTAGGTTTAAATTATATTTTAAATGAGAGAAACTAGCCAAATTTAAAGAGCTATAAATGTATTTTGGATGCTTTACATAGTTAGACTACAATAATTCTTAGAGATGGAATTTATTCTTGCATTAAATCAGACTCTAATCCACGTTGTTTTTTTTTACTTTAGTATAAAAGTTCATATCTTTAAAATCATGAGAGACACAATTGCGGAAAAGTGCTGCCTTGACAATATGGCAGACACGGTACTTAATAACTTTTAATTCGTTTGAACAAAATACTTTAAGAAAACAAGGTAATGTACCTCACATTTTAAACGCAAAAATGTAAAAGGTATGCCTGGTATTTCTCGTTTGGTTGCAAAATATTATCCGACCTACCTGCCATTCAATATTGACATTTATATTGAAAAATAAGGACTACGTTTTTATTTGTTTTCTATGATAGTGGCCATAATTTTGAGTAGTTTGAAATCACGAGTGGCGAATGTAGCGACAGATGTCGACCATAAGTAAAACTAAGGTTAAAGGGGCTATCTGTAAAACAAGGAATGGGGAATCCGGGAGTGGAATGGGGAATGGAATGAGGAATAAGAAGCCGGAATGGAAAAAGCCGGAATCTGTAAAACTCGCAAGGAAAAAAGGCAGAATCTGTAAGACCTGGAATGAGAAAAGCAGGAATCTGTAAAACCCGGAATAAGAAAAGCCAGAATCTGCAAAACCCGAAATAGAAAAACCGGGTAGCTTTGATGCGTCAGATCTATATAGTATTTAATATAATAGACACTACATATTGTCATTCGCTGGTTATTCCGTTTTATTGCAGCATCATTTTATTAGTGAAATCTTCCGACTGCATTATGCATGCATGAAATTATACCTACTTACTTACCTAGGCCTGTTGCTCCAAGAGGAGCATAGGCCATCGACAACAGTCCTCCATTGCACTCGGTTCTGGGCTACCTCTCCGCTGCCTGCCAGGTGGTTCCGTACTCCTTCAGCTCTGCTTCCGTGTCTCGCCTCCAGGAGTTCCTGGGCCGTCCTCTCTTTCTCTTGCCCTGAGGGTTCCACAGTAGAGCCTGGCGTGTGGTGCTGGATGCTGGTGTCCTGAGGGTGTGTCCGACCTAGCCCCACTTCCTTCGTAAGATTTGTCTGTCGACTGGCTCTTGACCCACCCTCTCCCAAAGTTGGATATTGCTTATCTTTTCAGGCCATCTGATGTTGAGGATGCGCCTAAGGCAGGAGTTAAAAAACGTCTGAATCTTTTGCTGTGTTGCTTTGGTCATGCGCCAGGTCTCTGCTCCGTAGTGCCCCAGCAGCTTCCACAAGGTCTCTCGGTCCACGCTGTCGATCGCCTTGAGGTATTCAATGAAGTTGACGTACAGAGGCGAGTTCCACTCTAGCGACTGCTCGACGATAATTCGCAAGCTGGCTATCTGGTCGGCGCATGATCTTTTGCACCGAAAGCCTGCCTGCTGTCCGGCCCTGCAGCCTTCCCGTTCTTGAGTGCTGCTATTGATTTCCTGATCTCTGCTTTGGATGGTGGTTCGCAGCTGATCGGGAGATCTGTCTCTGCTGGTTGGATGTCTGGTGGTTTTCTGTGACAAACAATCTGGTTTTCTCTGACATGATCAGGGGATCTCCAAGTGGCTTTGTGGATCCTCTTGTGTGAAAAGATGCTGCCTCCAATCACAAGCTGGTTCAAGGAAACACAGGTCTGCGAACCTCTCACCGTTCTCGTTCATCTGCCCTAACCCGTGCTTGCCCATGACTTCTTCATACCCGGTGTTATCGCCTCCGATCTTGGCGTTGAAGTAACGCATTAGAATGGTCATTTCATTCTTTCCTGCCTTGTCAAGGACCGACTGTAGGTGTTCGTAAAAGTCGTCCTTCTTCTCATCCTCCACGTCGTTTGTGGGGGGCATAGCACTGAATGACGCGGAGATTGATATTTTTCTTCTTGACGGAGAACTTGGCTGTGATGATCCGGAGGCTGACAGGTGCCCGGAGTAGAGCAGCGTCTCGCCGGAGCTCAGTCTCAACTGTCCTGCCTGCAGCCACCTCGTTTCACTCAGCCCTAGAAGACGTTGTTGTTCTTCATCTCGCTCGCTATTTGTGTCGTTCCCCCTGCCTCGTACATTGTTCGTACATTCCAAGTAGCGATCCTGGCGTTTTTCCTGGGTGTCTAAAGGGGGGTCGGCCCTACAGCTTCCTTTCGGCTTTCACTGCAGCGCGTCATAGTCCTTCGTGAAGGAGGCCCTTCCTCGCCCAGGACGGGTTGATGTGGATTTGTTGTCAATGCTTCTGTAACTGCTTCTTTTTTTATGGGAGGAGGTAGTTAGCCTCCTGCCCAACCCCCAACCGGGGGGACCAGGGGAATTTTTATGTCAGAGGACCCATTTCTTAGACGACCGTCAACCAAGACTATAACGAGCTCATTCTACCCGGGGAAACTATACCTACTAGTCACATACTTTATGACTGCTATCATGCAGTCTTAAAAAGACATTATTTATTAAGCCTAACTTTTACTGGACACAAACGTAAGCACAAGCATCAAGACAAAATGTCCTACAAAGGGAATAAGGGATGGATGCAGTAAGTGTGAGCAAGCCAAAACAAAAGACGTTTTCCACCTTTCCGCTTGATCTTTACAAGTCATTACGCGATCCTTTTCTTTAGTGTATATCCGTTTATGTTTCTGCAGTTGTACAATTCGAGGTACAATTAGGCTTGCGTTCAGTGAGACAATACTTTATACATGAATGAATTTAGCATGCCGCACTGGCTGGATGTCTAAATCGTATAATACAGTGTATGCAAAGTCGAGTGCGAAGTACTACTACGTCATTCAAAAATCACTAGCGAAAAGTAAACGTGTCCATGAACTTTGGACAATAATACAAAATAAAACGTGTAAGAGGGTCTAATGTCCGGTTTACAGTCATTCCGCCGCAGCCAACATGTCTGCGTGAATTCTAATTCTGTCCTGCTTATTGACAGTTACGCTCTGCGCTCTGAGCTAGCGCAAAAGAATGCTTTTTCCATCCCGGGTTTTACAGATTCCGGCTTTTCTCATCCCGGGTTTTACAGATTCCGACTTTTTCCGTTCAGGGTTTCTCATCCATTCCCCATTCCACTCCTCGATTCCCCATTCCTTGTTTTACAGATAGCCGGTTAAAGGCTGCATATTTTAGAGACCCTTGTCGTGAATCTGTAACATAATCTGTATGGATTGATTTGGTATTGTTGACGAAGTCGAGTTCCGTAGCAAACAAGTTACAATTAAATAGTTCTTGTGTTTCTTTATTACGAAACATTACTGCACATTGGATTTGGGGGTATGTTTTTTAGTTTCTATTAAATGCAAGCCTTCGTTTATCTGTCATAATGGCTTATTATTAAGCGCTTAAACAGATCAGCATTATTATGATTAGTCTTTACGCCCTTTTACTCAAATACTGATCACATCCTGAAATCGAAACTGAACTCATTATAGACATTTAGGTGATATTGCAGGATTATTCTTTTTTTGTGCTCTTTTTCGACTGACAACCCTTGCTATTAACTGATTTTTGTAATCAAACAGCGATGCCTTAACACTGACATTTTTGCCGTCTATAAACTAGAGTAAACAATATTTTTATTAGACTGGCTTTGGTTTCATCTATGTAATGCGCAACCTCAATCATTTTGAAAAAGATGACTAAATCACAACTTTCTGCTTTAATTGCAGTTAATATCAATTTTAATTTTATAATATTGAGGGCGAAACCAGGATCTTTTAAGATTAAAATCTATCCGTCGACGACTGCAGTCGGTAATATAACCTGTCGCAATAATACACGGCCAAAAATTGATCAGGTTGTCGCATCAAGGGTGAATAATTCTGTGCTGCACCCTGGGAACAGTATTGTTAACAATGCTTTTGAACCTTGTTGAATCATCAATGTTGATGCAATCACGATGCGATGTTGTTGTAACAAGTTGTAGGTGTAGGTTATGCAATACTTACTGATGTATGACTGCATGGTTAGGCTGCATGGTGTAGCAAGACAATCTATTTGATAGGTTGCTATGGCTGACTTTGTGCAAATCCCTCAGCCCTTGGGTAAATTTCGCGTAAAAAGTTGAATGTTTGCCCCGGTTACGTACGTTTGGGGAAAAAGCATGCTTTTGAACACAGTTTCTTTGCCTGAAAACTACATCATAACTACATCATTTAAGCACCTATTTCAACTCTCGTTGCTAAATCGGGAGCTAAGTAATGTAAAAACGTTATAAGAAGTGTATTGTTCGTTTCTGTAATTATTTTTTAATATTTTATAATATATTTTTTCATCAATGTCATGATCATTACAGATATTTATACACTACTGTATAATTACTGGGCGGACTGGGCCACAGGGATACCGGAAAATTTCCCGGTTGGCCCTTGATTCAGTAAATGCTTTTTGGCGCCCCATTTTGGAGAAAATTATGGAGGAAATGATAAAGCCATTGAAGTAAAACACAGAAAAGATAATCTGCTCTAATTCATGTATTTTGAAACTCGGCATTGTAGCGGTCAAATTTTAAACGCGACATGGCAGCACACGCATTGTCAATATGTTGCTCATGTTATAGAGCTACAAATGGCGCTCCCTGTTTTAGTTTTCCCGGTAAATCATGTATAGGCCAGTCCATCCTGGTAATAGCTATTTTTATATTGCTTTCGCTCCGTTTTATTGTTGTTACTTCATCATTATAGGCAACTGCTTATGAGAGAAAAACATGAAAGAAAACATTTATCTTTTTGATAATTGGACTGTCATTATACGTGTTCGACCTGGTATCAGATATTTATGTTGCAATTCAGTATTACAAAAAAAGCGAATGGTGGTGGTTCGTACTTACTTTATTATTCATCGTTATTCCAACGTTTATCTTAAATTTTGAAGCAAGCTGGCAAGCAGAAGAATTTTGTATTCCATGTATTGATGGAACAATTCATTCTATTTGCGGTAGTCGTGACGAAAACTATGTTTCCGTTTATTCGTGTCTCATGTGTTGCACATGCTATTCATATTTCCTGCGCTACGTGCAAGAAATTCGACAGTGGTGGAAAGAAAACTTGGAATGTTCCCCGTGCAGCAATTTCAGTGAGGAATGTAAGTGTGTGAAATGTGTTCGACATCGACACGAAAAAGAAAAATCGGTCAAGTCTTCATGCGACCTTGCACGTCTAAACTACCATGAAACCATTTTTGAATCCGCTCCACAATGGTGCGTTCAAAATTACGTCATGCTTCGTCAATGGTACTTTCCATGGTACACTATCGTATCGACCGTTATTTCATTTTTATCTTTGGTTTGGAGCATAACGTCTCTTGAAAAAGCGCAAAGAAAAAAAGCGTGTTTAGAAGCAGATCGAGAGGTGGCTAATGGTAAATCTACTCTTGTATTCGTAGTTTGGAAACTTTGTGCTTTACTGGCCAGGTTATCAGCACTCGTAATTTTTGCCTTTGCTTTTAAGTATCATATTTTCATTTTCATTGTTCTGCACTATTTTCTTGTGGCTCAAATTAATCTTCTGTGGGAACGAGCTCACAGAAATGGAGCAAATATTGGTTATGAAAATGGAGCAAATATTGCTTATGAAAGTCAAGCAAATTCAACTTTAACTTTCTTTTACCATTGTTTTACTTCTAATGCCTTGTTCAACATTTCCGAGGGAAAATCTCAAAATAGCGTACTTCGCTCGATTTCCCTGTTACACATAATATTTGTGTTGGAAAATATTCTTCTTACATCACTTTCATTATGGACATTGCCTGATATAGGCCTAAAGGACAATAATTTTAAGATAGGTATTTTTTGCTTTGTATTTGGTATGGATGTCATATCTACAATATTTTTTCAGTTGTATTACAAGTTCTTTAAACTAAAATTAAGTAGCGAACATATGCAAATTATTCAAGACGACAGCGACGCAGTTGACGGTGAAATATCGGAGAGCTGCATCTATTTTGAAACTTCAGTTTGATGTTTGACAAAAAACAATATCCTGATTATAGAAAAGTAAATAAAAATGAAGAACTGGACGATTCAACTTAAACTGGATGACTTGTTCACCTCTTTCCAAGTTTCGTTTGCATATATTTACATGCTTATCCATTCTTTAAAAATAATCTCGCAATAATCAGACAATTGTAACCGTTTCTATCTTATTAAAGATTGAAACACCTAGCAAGCGACGATTAATTGTTTGTTTATTCCCGAAGCTCGTTGGTTGCATTTTTTGGTTTGTCTCAATTGCAATCAGACGTGTCAATCAGTGTATCTTAGGTTTAATGACGGACTGCATCCATGGATATTCAATAAATGCACAATTCTATAGTAATTATTTTAATCTATAGCTATATATACTAGTATTTCCATGAAAAAAGTGTTTATATTTTGTTTAATAATTCATTGATAATAGCCAATAAATTTTACACTTTGTTGCCTCGCCTTGTTTGTCATGCTGAAATGTATTCGGGGTTTGTACCTGGCGAAGCGTGCGTGACCCAGAAAGTTGAGTTGAATGCTACTGCATGTCGAAGTGTAGAACCTTATTCTGCCCGCTTTGTCTATTTTGCTAATCAGTAAAACATGTACCGACTTCAAAGTATAATATTTTTTTATTTTAAATATACTTCAACACATTTAACAATAATTCATCAATTTATCATTTCCATTTGAAAATCGTTATCTGCACGTAAAGTTCTGTATTTTACATATAACAAAGGCTATGTACACATGATATCATTTTCGAGGTCTATTTGAATCAAATATCTTTTATCGCTTTTGTATTTTGATGATCTTTCCTAATTCAGGAAAGCATTTGTTATTGTACTTTCTTTCATGTTGTTTACATGAAAAATCAACGAAAAGGATACCATCTCTGTACATAGTTTGAATATTCCGTCATATTAAATAATTTCTGTCCGATTATCAGTGGCGTAACGGATGAAAATGGTGCCCTTAGGTATATTTGTTGTGGGGGCCCTAGCTGTTTGTCATGTTTTCACTTGAAAAATAATTTGAGAGCTGAAACTTGTAAATTTACATTAGTGTATTACTTCATTAGTTATAGAATTAATAGAACATGGATAATAGAATAGAGAATTCAGCCATGGTCGATGGATACTTTATTATTTAATCTACCATCATTAATGCTGCATTTTCCTTTGCAATCAACCTCATACCCTAGGCCTATCTTTGGCATAACAATTTGTTTTTAACCTGACTTTTTTATGCCACACACTGACACGCCGTTTTTCTTTAACAATCGTGGTGATAGACGACAATCAATGGGGGCCCTCTCTTAGTTCTTGTCCTAACCCGACCATACGTCCGTTACGCCACTGCCGATTATCAATTAGATTATAGTTCGGATCGTACATTACATTGTCATCAAATTATCATTATCTTCAATGAAGCGTCAGGAAGTTGATGCAATAAATATAGCCTAAAGAAGATAAAAGAGAGCGGTATTTTTAGGCATGATCAGTAGAGTTTGACTTCAACGCCAGTATTCTAACTAACTCATAGAGTGCAGGAGATCTCAATCTTCTCATAACTTTCCACGACGGTATTTTCAGTCAAACAATAGCTTGATTTTCAATGTTTGTCCTGAAATCTTTTCATTTACTAAGAAAGAACTTTCTCATTCATCAGTAATAAAAAAATTTCAATGTCACCCTCAAAAGAGTGTGAGTCAGCGTTTTGAATACATGCAGGCGTAAAGGTCTGTTCACACGATCGAATTTTGTTGGATCCAATTTACTTCTGATGTATGAAATAAAGTCGGCTATTGATGAAGCCGTAGTGCATTGGCTTCAGTGGATTTGCTGATATAGCTACAAGCCTGCAATACAACACAACAGATCAGACTATAAAACATCCATCAAAAGTGAACTGGATCTAACAAACTTGGATCGTGTGAACAGACGAAACAGTCCATGGTTTGCCATTACAAAAGACATGATGAGAATGGGAAAATGCATTGAATTCAGGGGCTCTCTCAGCACAGTTATGGGGGCGTACCTGAAACACAACAAAATATTTTTTGATCACTGTTTATGGCAAATGAGGGAACTTTGCAAACTGTCTTGCGTCAGAATAAGCATTGTCTAATATTTCCTCGAACTTTCGATCCATTTTTTGAGAATTATGTCTGTTTTCAGGATTACGTTGTTTTGTCGCTGAAACTAATCCGTCTCCGTCTACACCAAGATTAGTGAGTCCTTCTTCTAATACCGCTGACCCTCGGTCTGTTTCTTGTGTTGCAGCTTTTGATTTCTTGCATCTGAAAAAAACCCGTCATTTCTAGTTCACTGATTGCCTATCAGTATAAATAGTCCAAACTTATAATTGTCCAAACAAATATTTTTACATTAATATATTATACTTCAGGGGCCGGTTGTTCGAAAGGTGGTTAAAGTTATCCACCGGATAGTGAATATTTTAAACGTTAAAATCATCCTCACCACTTGGCATGGCCAAGATTAAACTTCACAATTTTGAAGTTTACACTAGTTTCTAACGATTGTAAATTAATATAAGTAACTTTATCGTTCTTCAAAGCTTTTTTACGACGGTTGAAAACCCACTATCCAGTGGATAACTTTATCCACCTTTCGAACAACCGGCCCCAGACAATTAGTTTAAGAATCTCATCGTCCGTATGGATTATATAATCTGTTAATTTCGGTTGTGAAATATCATGCATCTACTATCATGTGATCTCGACTTGCGGGAGAATCAAGGCCAAAGTACGTTACTTCTAGTTTCTTTCATCTTTTTGCAAGATGAAGCAGTAAAGATAAAAGTATTTAAAAGAGATTTTTATAAAGAAAGGCATCCAGGTTGCAGGCGCTGAAAGTGTTTTTTCTGCGATCTTTTTCAATTACCCGGAAACAGGCGGAGAATGAACGAGGTTGACCTAACCCGACCTTATAAAGAGGATTCACTGCTCCCTGACTATGCCATACATTACTATATTAATAGAGTAACTCAAAAGCCGCGTCAGGACTATATTTACCTTTTCCGAAGAACGAGAATCATCAATATTAAAGCAACCAAGAGCACAACAAAACAACACGTTGAAACAATCGTTATTGTTATAATACTTCTTTCGTTCATTGTTCTATGACATACCTGCAGAAAATTTGTATGATATATGTTAATGAACGTGTCGGTACATAAGAAAAACTTCATTTTCGTGACCAACCTATTTGCATGTGTTGTTTATTCCTATACTATTATAACGCTAGATACAACTGAAACTAATTTAAAATTAATTTCTCTAGTGTCCATCTTTGGTAAAAATTTAAGACTAAAAATAAGATTTATTAACTTCAATCATGACTTAACATATTAAGTATAAACTGCTAAATTGCTAGATTTTAAAGTGTTAAGTATATTTCTTATCCTCCAATCGTGTTCATACTAATTAAAACGTGCAATTGTACTAGGAATAAAAGATTGTTCATGTCTTTTAGTGTGTGAAATTGCGTGCGCATATGACCTGGAAGATGATTTACCTTCAACGACGCCTGTATTATTAAGGGTTTATTAGGCGGTTGTTATTTCTGCAGGCGAAAAGGTTGGGGAAGTAACAGCCATAACTGATCTTATAATATACTGGGTATAGAAACTATATTTAAAGACAAATTGAAGCCAGAATTTCTTTGAATGAACTTTCAGAGACACGTGAAACCGAGAGAAATAGTCATTTATGGTTCTCTGCAATTGAAGGAAGACTTTGTAATCGATTTAGAACATAATTTTAAAGTGGAAACCTATAATTTATAGTTACTACGAGAGACTCCTACTAAAATTCGTGTCGTTTTTTTTCTTTCAATTTGGGATTCGAAAGTTTAGTGAAATTCAAGCCTAGCTTTCGTCAGGTATAATAATTCAGTGTACTATGAGATCAGTTTAGACAGGTTTCAGCTGAACTCTTTCTAACTAATGCATCTCATCTAACGATCACAATTTCTTATAGCGTACGATGACATAAGCATTCCAAACAAGTGATTTATTCAACATATGTACATTATTATCACGAAAATGAGAGCCCTGCAATATGAGACATATCGGCTATAATTATAACCATTAGACATATTGCTAAGTAAGCATTATGGGCAAATTCAAACGGCTTTAATCAAAATTGGCCATCTTTAAATGTGCTTTGAATATCGAAAAAAGTTTGAAAAGCAATAAATTTTTAGGTTTTTTACCCTGCCCTACGGCAAAAAAAATTGACCTCATTTAACCTGCCATTTAATTTAACCAACCACAAGATCTTGAACGAATTCAAAAGTGAGCTATTTCTATGATTTTTTATGATTTGAATCACGATGAAGCATTGTAGTCCTATTACACCTTCTAAATCTTACAAGTCTTTTTAATCCTTCAAAAGCCTTTCAATTTCAAATTATGCAATATTTCTTGATTGCTGACGTTTCTTAACGCTGAAGTGCATGAGAAAATCTGTCCAAACGCGCAACCACAACAAAAAAGTGTTACCATGGTATTAAAATTACAACGCAGGTTTTTTTTTGAACTGAAATATTAAAAATACTAATAGTGCGTAAGACTTAGGTAAAGGCCCTATATGAAATAAATATTGTGAAGATACTACTCTGAGTCATGTACTAACCGGGTAAGCTGAAAAATTAGCAGTTCACGACGGTTGGAAACGAACTCGCGACGGCGCGACCTTTGGTTTGTTAGTCCAATGTTCTTCCAATCAAGGTCAAGACGGTTCCAGTAGCTCAAATTTTCAGTTTACCCGGTTGGTGACTCAGAGAGTCACTGAGTCAGAGTAGCATCTTTACAATATTCATGTACTAAAAATACAATCTCTCATGGACTGCAAATCTGGTGCACCTATATGTATGTTTGCTGAAACTGAAAGTACCCGTTTTTAAAATTCTATCCCCTCTGCTCCAAACACCGCCCGGTCCCTCAGCTTTTAGCAGTTTAAAAATGATAATTTCATCTACATACTGACAACATTATTTTGAACCTTGAAATATCAAGGCTGGATATTTAGGAAAAATCACACATTTGAATTGAGAACGTCAGCACACGTCAACAACAACTTGAATACAGCAAGTTCGTGTCAAGTTGCTAATAATTGAAATATTAAAAAGAGATAACACTTGTGCTCCAAGACAGATACTTGCCAAGTATTAAATATAAATTTCACTTGTGTTAATGTTTGGCTGGATATTCGAAATGTCCCTAGCTATTACGAATATCTCGGCAAACACGCGTACAATTTTTTAAACCGTGCATGCCATTTCCTATCCAAACAACAAATCATGACATCATGCACGCGTCACTAAAATCTTGAACAATCTATTATGATTGTTCCAAAAAAATCACCAAACTAACTCCTAAATGTTATCCTGGGGAAATTTCATTTAAAATGTATGATTCAGAGAAGGTGGACCGATATTTTACGGGATAATTTGTATACATATTTATCAAAATAATGCTGTTAAGCTGTGATTGTTCAGGGATTAGTTCTGGATTAGGATAGATGCAACGTGACCATCTCATTCTCACTAACTATCTTAATATATAATATAAATATAATGGTAGTTAGTAGCGATTTGATGATCTCAACCTTCAGAGAAATAAGTCGCTATTTTGACTAGGCTTATCTTCTTTTAATACAAATTTATTTGAGGAATTTGAAAATGATGATGTTACATCACTAGCCGGCAAAACAACTGCTAAGGCTGGCTGTGCATACATGTATATACCCCCTACCAGGTCCCACACTGTATAATTTTTGGAACAAAGATCCAATTACTGATAGATTTGAGATTTCTATAAACACACAATGGTTCGACTCATACTGCGGATAAAGCAATCGTCTGTAAGAAAAAAATCGCTTTATGATAAATGGTCAGACGAATATTGCAGGAATTTTTTCCTCCATTGGTCATTACTGGTCCTTCTGTTTGATTCCGTTTTGGCATCAGTGAGGGTCAGGATATTTTTCTTTTCCGAAGTTCACCAATAATATGTATCAGGTCATTAATTAATACGCCTTTAATATAAATCTGGCATCTTTGAGATCTAGACCCTATACTAGGCTATAGGCATAGTTTCAGTCAGTAAACACTTCATATACAGCTTTGTATACGTTATCTCGGGTTGAGACGTAAAATAATATTTTCTGAAATTTATCTTTCTGAGATCTGAAAAAGTCTACACAAAGCGGACAAGTTAAAGTAATAGAGTTTCAATGATGAAAATATTCTCGAGAATAACAATAATCAGAGTGCAAGGTTGCCGGCCTTCTGACGCCAAACATACAGTCATTGCATCATATTTGTTCGGTTAGTGATTGAGCCTCAAGAGGCTCTTAAAAGTTTTCAGTTATAAGTAGACTCTTGGCATTGCCAATACGGCTTCTCTAAAGACCAGCTTTGACAAATTTAAAATAACATGAGAAAACTCATACGCTACAAACACTATTTTGGCCAGCCACAACAAACATTGCATATCAGCCGTAAATTGAAAATGCTGGCTCTAATCATTTAATCCCTCCAGCATCGTGTTCAGAAATTACAAACAAGAAAAATGAGAATACGACTTACCGTGAATCATCGCCAAGTGCAAATCGTCTGTGTACATATGATGTGCACGAAAAATCTGTACAAAATGTACTTCAATAAGATAAACACGGTCGTGTGTCGCGATATATATTATACGTATATTCCGACAATATTGTTTGTAAATATAAAGACGCCGCGATACCAGGCAACGTCTATGAATGAAATGAAATTATACTTCAAACTAATTATTCAGGTCTGCTAAGAAACTAGCTTCGTCGAAAATTTGTTATTAAAAAGACTTTCCACTGAGGAAATGACGAGTAAACTTTAGTTGAAATCAATGGAAATATTGCTAATCCCAAATCGTTAAGACCGGACTTGTTTTCATAGTATAAGCAATTAAATACAATAATATATTCATATATATGGATATTTTCGTAGATCATGTTACGTTTGAAGGTCAAAGTCGTTAATAAACGCCTGCTCAGCAGTGTGTCTTGACTGCGTGAAGTAGTGTCTGGGCTGTGCATGATTTATAAGCGAACCTCATGAAATTTCCTAAAAAAATTCGCGCATTTGTCGAAATTTCAACCCGTTGATTCAGTGTCGGCACTTTCAACCCCCATATATTTAAATTACTTTTTAATTTATTGTAATTATGCGACGAAAAGTCATATTTGCTTGGGTCAAAGCGATGTCACATTCCCCCTGGGAATTTTCTGCTATTCTTAATCAAACTCAACAGTACTTGGTTGTCACTGTATCTGTGATATAGACGCAAAGTTTCTATAATCATTGGTAAAATTTTTAAATGAATCTTACCAAAGGATGTATCTCTTTCATTATATATTTATATGACTGTGGAGGGGTCAAAAAGTTCGTTCATGTATGGGCGGGTACAGGGCGGGAACATGGACGCCAGCTGTCTTTTTAGGGCAAACAAGGTCACTGGATAATGTCGTATTTCTGCGAAGTGCGGAAATATATAAAAATTACTGAGTATTTATGAAAAAACCTCTGGGGCAACACCGCCGGGTTTCTACAAGTGTTTTGCAGGGTTAGAAAACTACTCGGAAGGTCAGAATCTGTAAGTATTTATTGTTAATCTGTTTTTAAATGCACCTTTTTAACTTAGTTGCTTCTGCTACCAAAATGTGCCAATTCAATCTCCTTTTTTTGCGCAATACACTTTCACATTTGTTTACAATAATTACCGGGTTACCCGGGTTACCAGTATCGATAGTTTTAAGCTAATTTGATGACTCACTTAGTAAAGCCAAACTACTTTATTTTATTCATTTTTTATTATTATTATATATTATAGTCTTATGAGGGTCATTCACAGAGGAACATATAACACTATATACAAGTAGCACACTTAACATAGTAGGGACCCTAAATGGGCAAGGTTTAACGGGATTTGAAGAACCATGCAGGGAACTTCTCGCAACTGAAATTGCATTAAAAACTTATGTCGAAAAAGAAGGAAGTGGGCCTAGGCTGAGAGAGAGAACTATTTGCACACACTTAATTCTACCATGACTCTGCGAATTTTGTACGAATTGTATTTGCATCGCTTACGATGAGGGGAACCAATTCCATCCCTCAGGAGTAGGGCATTAATGAGAGACAGTCCAAACTGAAAACATTTCACCATCTCGATTTCAAAGTTACACTCTTCAAAACCTCGAAACTCACTCACCCAAACTATCTATTCAAAAGAGGGAGGAACTAAAATTATCGACGATCTGAGAAAAGGCAAAAGTATGTCATCATCAAAATTTAAAAAGGAATGCCCTGAAGTTGTTATACTCCTCAACTAACCCCGTCATCACATTTCCTTATCGTGCATGACAACACCAGTATTTGAATACAAAATAACTGAAAACTTTAAGAGGAAGAAAGCGCAATAATATAATATTATTATAGAAAGCAGCTGTGGAATAATTATATTATTGCCATAAACCAATTCTTTAAAAGAATTTGAAGAAAATAAGCAGTATTTTCTCATTTGAAAGAATTTGGAAGATATATGAAATATTCGATAGAACTAAAATATCTGCCTTCTGGATTTTTGTCAACAAATATGTTACCTCACGACCCTATCTTTCATTCTGCATCGTCGTCTCCGATATATCAAAGTCACTTCGAACGATTACAGCATCTTTTCCTAACCATATTCGTGAGCAACGAGTATTTCTAAAGCTACATTAATATGAGATGAAAAATCTATCCAAGATGGGGAAATTCAATTCAAGTGGCTGATACTTCAAGAGCTGAAAAGAATGTGAAAAATCTGCAGAAGAAGCTAATCTGAAATCGGTCCAAATATTCTTTCAAAAAAGAATTGAAAATTCACACTGCGCTTCTTTAGACCTTGGGCCATGGCCTGTTTAGTAAAGAACGAATTAAACCCTTTTTAACACGAATTAAAGTAATCACGTGATTGAAATAGCGTGGTAGACGGACTAATTGTCATTTCGGTGGAAAAACAATATCTCTTGAAATATACTTTATTTCAGTTTCAAATTTATGTCAGAACTATAGTTCTTATAATATACATATGATCACAAAATATCGACTAGTTCATAAAGGATATAATCAACAAAGATATAATCGATTAAATAACGCTAGAATGGATTTCTTTTGCTAAAACCCTTCTGAGCGCTGATTGGCTAATATATTAACAATAGATCACTTGGTACAATGCTCAAAACAATGCAAGCAGAGCCTCCAACGTTTCTTTTGAATTTTGTGATAACGATGTATAACCAACATTGTGGGTTATACATCCAACAACGAAGGAGGTGTTTTTACATAACTATCTTACATATTTATTACCACAATTTTTGTTACTATTGTTAATTAACTTTAAATACCAGATAATTACATTTTTAAACTCTCTGAAGAAAACTTCGAAAACCGTTTAAACATATACTACAATTGTATAAGATATTTATCTCTAAATTTTCTCATAACCAATCGCCCGGAACAAGCAGATTGAAAATATCATTCCAAGAACCTAAAGTATAAAATATGTAAAATTATTACTTTTCAAATCAAATTGCTTCATCCGGACAGGTCGGCCGAACCATAGATGAAAGATACTGATGTTCATCTCAGGTGTAAAAGTGAAGGTTTATTTAGAGATAATTTACTCAATTCGTACCACAATGTGAGAGAAACATAGTCTATTGTACGGCAGTAGCATGGGAGGGCTCGTATATTTTGCCGAATATCAGCAAAATGATTAACCATAATAACGCAAGATACTGTGTTTGTTGTTGAAGTTTAAAGTATGAGCACTTACATTAATTTACACTGGTGGAAATGATTTAATTGGTTTGCTGTCCAAACAATTAACGTATCGGACATGCAATTTGAATGTATGAATTTACTAGTAATTCACCTGAATGACAGCAATACCCACGCCAATCCCTCCAATTACAACCAGATGCTCCTTCGCCCAATCTTTCATACCCTGAATGCATCCCTAGTGCGAAAGTTCACGTTCAATATTGGTTACAAAGGCTGAGATTACTTGACGTTTCATTGGAGAAGGGTGGGCCAACGCTGGGAAATTTGCCTGCGCTGACCAAAATAATCGCTGGCACTTGAACAAATCATCTTAATTTTCACAACCGTAGCACAGAGAAAGGGTAATTTTTGGAGAAAGCTGAAAGCAATGGCTTTGGCGCGTTCATTACATGTATTTAATTCAATTTTTTTGCTGACATTTGAGGTTATTTGTTCAAGTGAAAGCGATTATTTTGGTCAGCGGGGGCACAATTCCCAGTTGTTGGGTGGGGCCGGTGGGTCTAGAAATAAGAAATAAGACCGCTTAGAAAGACCGTATACGCTGTTACATATTTCTTTTGCATGTCATTAACTGGAATCAGTTAAACGAGATCCAGCTAATATTTCAAAGCCCAATATTTCAAGTGAATATAATCACAGTTAATAGAATATGCATGGTTTGGAGACGGCTAAATAATAAATACAATCGACACGTGATGAGAAAGAAACAATTTTTGCATAAATGTACCTCAACATAGTTAATGAGTTGTATGTATATTCTATTAACTGTGGTACAATGAAGTATAAGTTGTATTCTCATTGAACTTTCAATATATAGATACCTCTTGAAAAATATTGTCACGGTTCAGAGGATCCTGTGTACAATTGGCGATGTCTTTATTATTGCAGCATGAAGATGGCACAGCTTCATTCTTTGACGTGTGGTTGGCCCAATAGGAATATTTCCAATCATTGTAGCTTGTTGCTCCACAACATTTAATCTAGAAATCGTGCAATATTGCAAGATATTTAATCACAACTATACAGAGACTTTAATAATGTATGAATAAATGAATGCCTGTCTAATAAAAAGCTTAAAACATTCCTAGAAAATATAATTATGTTCAATATTTCCGTTTTCGCCTGTTTAAAATGAATTTAACGCTATAATGAAAATATTTGCAGAGAAAAACTTTGGACTGAATTACTCTATATTATATTTAATTCAGTTTAAGTCAGAAAATCGGTCACCTTTAGAGTGGAACTGTGTAAAGTGTGTTTTTAGACAAAATATGCGATAGGTCTAAGCACCAACTTGTTAAAATGTACGGTTACAAACATTTTTTTAAATTCTGCACATGCAATCAAAAGTTTAAATAGACGCGCCTAAAAAGCTTCAACTTCCAACAGAAGCAAACTAGCTTGCCCCATAATGCTCAAAGTTTTTTACTTTTTCGGAAGTGTTTCTTATAATAGACTATAGTAAAATTTAGTATCAAATGTGGTATAACAACTGCCTAAATAGACAAAAGTAAACACTTCTCAACGTTTCGACCCGAGGGCCTTCGTCAGGAGAGTTAGTATGATACTAACTCTCCTGACGAAGGCCCTCAGGTCGAAACGTCGAGAAGTGTTTTGTCTATTTAGGCACTCGGTTGTTATACCACATTTGATGCTAAGTTGTTTGAAGACGTTGCTCCTTGGTTATATAGTAAAATTTATTCTAATTCATTTGCCGTATGAGAAAACATGCAACAGCTAGAGAATAAAAGAAATCGTCATTCAGCTATGCAGCTAAGTTCGGGTTTTTGAATAAATGTATCTGAAACTAAGATGAGTAGAAAATGTTTTATATTTTCCTGCCTTTTTAATTTTATCTCATAAAAATACTATAGACTGCAGTCTACATAGAAATATTTACTTACATGTTTTTGGGCAAAGTCGATGGCCTTTGTGACTTTTGTATGATCTGGATTTCCATATTCTTTAAACACAGTTATGTTGATTGCTTTACTCACTTCTTCTTCCATCTAAGAGAGAAATATTTCACCCATTCACAAATTTCATAAAAATTACGGTGTTTCATTATTACAGAAGGCTAGAAGCTTTTCAAATTTGCAAATTTGATAATATAATCATTCTCATTATCAAGATGTGGGATAAAATTTAGCTAGCAAAATAATTGCATATTTTCTTTTGAATTTTGACAGAATAAATAAATTGATTAAGCTTAGCTTCACGTACTATTCTCGCTTCTAAAGAAAATATGCAAAAATTATTATGAATGAAGTTTCAATCTTGATTACCTTGTCACGATTTTTGTAAGCCATTATTCCAGCAGCAATTTCGAGAATGAAAATGAGGAATACAAGGACAAAGTACTAGGGAGAAGACAAAATCTATGTTATTATATTCTGGAGTTTTTACCAATACTGATTCTCGCTACAATGCAGGGGTAAGTGCGCTTGCCCTAAATGTAAGAAAAGTACAAACTTATGCAAAAGTGATTAACACAAGCTGATTAGTTAGTATTAGTCAGTTAAAACTTTCTGCTCGACTATAAACTTAAGCTCGATGAATTTTTGCAAGTTTGAACATCTCAGGGACTGGTCGTAAAGTAACTGCAAGCTAGGGTGGTTCGAAGGAAAAAAATGAATTTTTGAAAACGAATTCGCTGGCCCATCTTGTGACCCTATAGGAAAGAATTAAAAACCCAACGTGGGTGATAGGTGTAATATACCAGTAAAAGACAACATTTGTTCTCTTTCATAGCACCACAGCATCCAACAAATCCAATTATGAGCACGAGAACTCCAGATGCAATCAAAATATTTGCTGCCTTGTCAGTGTCAGTGTCACCAAGTATCGCCTCGTAATCACTGGCAGCGACACGACTCCAGATCCCAACTCCAAGTACTGCGATTCCGGCGATCTAGGTATGAATGTAATAATTTATACATGGAAGTTTTGATATCGCAAGTTGCATGTGACTGACATTCTACACGAGGATCTGTTATCTGCATTTTTCATTGTCTGTCAAATACCAAAGATTACTACACTATAACAAGGATAAGTACGAGCTGATAAAACTAAATGTGTTTCTTTTAAACAAATGTGACTCCGAGCAACTTATACTTGTGATGATGTAGAAGACGTGGACATGCAGTTTTATTGATACAGGGCCGCAACGCGATAACTCCAGGTTTTGGCCTCCATCTTTGAGCCAATGTGAGGCCGAATTGCGGACAAGAACCTTGTCAGTGCGATCACGAGGTTTAATTCAGCAATAGAAATTTACTTAAACTGGCGGGCCCAGCAATTGGGTTGGTTGAAACACGTGTTTAGAACCTCTTTATACAATAGATGTAATGACTGACAATTGAAGAAAGAATGGCAGAGAATGAGAGAAAATATTTCATTTTCATAAACAAACCACCAGAATGGTGTTACTCATCTAAATCCAAGATTCAACCAGTATACGGTAAACCAGACAAAGCCCGTAGGGTATAAAAATACTATAGTAATAATGACGAGACCTTTTTAACACTACCAGCATGACTAGTCTGTTTAGAAGGTTTTTTACTTTACCATATATCTTACTCTACTTTAGCGATATTTTCTGTCGTTTATAGTAAAATGAATTCGGTAAATAATAAAAGCATCCGGCCTATACGTCATGCACTGATGTCACACAAGATCAAGCGAAGGCTGATACAGCAATTTGTTCAGTCTGCAGCAACCGACACAGACATTCGCATGTATATAAACACGAAGTTTTGACGTAAAAAGGATAAACTTTCATTGTTTCGAATTTTTTAACGAGAAAAAGATCTTCGCATGTGAATGCAATGAAGGATGAGCACTGGCTAGCTAGAGTTTCAGAAATAAGTTCATCTTTAATTTTGATTTGAGCGTTCTTGGGTTTGGCCTTAATTATAATGCTGAAACTAGGCAACGATATATTGTAATAATAAATCCCGCTGTATGCCTGTAATTGAAATGTTTGTCTTATTTTGCTTCGTGCGGGTTGGCAAAATATGACCTTCATTGAAATTTTACACTCGCTGATAACGTAATGACACACGTCACATATGTCATCACCTGATTTTGGCGGATCTCGCCAAAATATCCTGTGATTGACATCAGATAAATCGCTGCGGCCAACATCGCTAGCTATACAAAGCAACATATATTAAATACATGCAGGATTTGCTTCTCCTGTGTTAAACAGAAAAGGGTTGGAAATGAACTACTATTGTACCTTCAGTCCCCGCTACATCGTACTCCAGTGTGTGAAAAATTTTAACACTCAGTAAATCATATTCGCAACAGGTTCTTATTTAAAATATATCCAACATTAGGGCGACGTTAAACACATTTCGTAAACTGTAATATACGGTTATTATAATGTACGTTAAAACGCAAATTTTGCAGCGTGTCTGCATGTACAGTTAAGGTAAAAATGCTGGCAGAAATATGGTATTCACACCGCAATGATACTAATAGATGCCACGCAATTATTAATCAAACTCACCCAGAAAACTAGATTAAACGCCAGTAAGAGATATTTCATACAAGTCATGCCACAACTTAAACCTGCCATCTTTCGCGACCCTAAAAGGCAAGAACACGTACTACTAATAAGAAATTCATAGACAGAGATTCGTCAACAAAAAATTAACTCTTCCGAACTTCAGGTCCGATTTTCTATCGGCTGGCGCTACAAAAATACTATAATAAAACATATTCATGGAAAATTATAACATTTGAAACGAGACTGACGATGATATCAGAAGTATACCTTGTATTTTTGGTTTCAAAAGAGCAAGTGAACCCTGCGTTTAACTTAACCGGCTCTCGAAAAATATTCTGCAAGCTGCCAACGATTAATGAAAATTTTAGTTTCACAAATTTGGAAATGTAAATTTGTTCCTTATTTATTACATTCTGACCAATAAGAGAACGGTATTTTATCCTAGTGTATAAATAATTATATTGTATAACGCAGGGAGGGTTTAAACTCTGCATAACAGATGACATAAGCCGAGGAAAATGTATGAATTAATCTCATATTGTTGTGTAGACGACAATGTGATATAATGACGCATTTACTTAAAAGACAATAGATGAATTTTTAAAGAGCTCGGATTCGTTTCCAAGGTATATGATGAAAATAATGTATGGTTTCGATGTTATATCTTTCTGAAACCGTTCCAGTTCAAAATAAATAACAGCTGCCTGTTCCAATTTGGGTTATAACGTATTTTAATTTATGCAAATGATAAGAAAAATAAACACTTTAGTTATAAATCAAGATTTGAATATTCTATATCGCGGTAGAAACAATGTGCTTTTAGCAGTTATGACAGGAGTCACTAAACATGCAAGACTGCGGTAAACATAATTCATTCATGCATGGCGGTGAAAGTCTCTGTCAAAAAAATTTTACCATGAATTACATTACAATTTCAGCTAAATATTATCATTAACTTATTCCTTTAATAGTTTTTATAGTTTTCGTTATTATTATGAGAAAACCGGAAACCGGTCAGCTTAGCAACAGCTGTTTTAAAAAATCAAAAATTGTGTATTTTGGTCTAATTCTTTTATTTGATTGCAAGGATATATTTAGCATTGAAGAAAATATTTGTGGATTGAAACCTAGCTAACCTAGCCTTCGTCATACTTATACGTCAAACTTCTCAAGGAAATTTGTTGGGTCTGAATCATTTCCAGATTGTTATTAATAATAGTCCCCGATCATCGATTATAATCATCGAAGTGGCTCATGCCCCAGCCGATCAATTTATGAGGTGTTTAAGTCATCTTACACCTTAGGATGATTTTTTCTAAAATTCATTAATGATAAAAATGACACGCTGATAATAAATCCAGTAGTATTACGCAGTTAAATGACCTCTTATTTTCTTATACTTACAATGCAATTCTACTTTTAAGAGATGTAAATTAGTGACGAGTCTTCTGCAGAAGAAAAGTGCATAAAGTGTAATAACACAAAAGTTTCGTTGTTCCCAAATATACATCTCTCAAAAGTAGAATTGCATTGCAAGTTGCAAGGAAAATTGCAACGTGTAACCGGGACTTTATACGCGACAGAAAAGAGCACTATTGCCAAAAATGATTGCACCAGCAATAAAAAAAACGTTCAGTAAGTTCCTCATGCGTCAGTGTATGACGTGATCAGAAAAAAAAACACGAAAAGGAGTATTTAGTTACAATGATAGTACGCTGAAAATTCATTGACATTTCCGCAGGTTTTTACAATTAAATGCAATTGTCACGAGTGCGTGCTAAACCTGCCAGTCTGCGCCAGGCTTTAGGGCAGATAAAATAATATGTAAAACCATAAAATATTTTGCGCTGGGTGGTGAAAACAGTGGCATGGCAATCAAGGAGTCAAGGTGGTCACTTTTCACCCAATGTATTAGCGAAATTTTTTTGGCTAACTGACTCACAGCATAATACAACATTTCTCCCAATTTCCATACCAGTATACCTTTTATTCATTTTAAGGTGATCTGCCCCTGGGTACAACGTGATTCCGCTCTGACTTTGTCATTTACGCATTAATTACTGACAGGCTAAAAACGCGCTGAACAGTTTGTGCAGGATAATTGTTGTACAGAAAAAACTCCAAACAGTTTACTGGGTGGAAACTAGAACTTGCTAACATACGTGAACCCATACGTGCCGTTCGTATTTCTGGTTTGCATGTTTTACAATTTTAATCATTTTCTAGCCTGTCAGACAAGCCAATAATCTCCTTGATAATTTTGATATCCTCCATACCTTTCACCCCCCTCCTGAATTAGGAAAATAGGTCCAACCAGCCTGGACAATAAGAAACACCTCCACTCGCAACCTCGTACCCAGGGTCTTTCGCAGCATGGTCTTGCCCACTGAACTATATAATATAAATATAGGAATTATTATAAAGCTCAATGGTCTTGTCCCGGGTACATCTAAAAGGCTGCGATAATGAAAGTCATCAAATTTCGTTAAAGGAGGTGTACAGTCCGTTATGTAAATAAACACTTTGTTTACATTTTCACTGATCCGTATGTTTCCCAAAATATCAAAAACTTTCATAGACAGCCCGCGGTCAAAGCGATACGTCATACTATATGACCAGGCTGCCTATGAAACTTTCAGAATATTTGACAGGCTTTTAGTTCGCTATACTTCCAGATGAATATGAAAGAGGGTTTGTGTTCAGAGAGTTTATGAAACATGTGAAATTTCAGCAATTTTGAAACAAGTAGACTATCCATTGTTATAAGCAGAACTGATGCACAGATTCAAAAGCGCCAGTAAATAAACCCGCTTTAAAACTTCGTACTCTATTCTCCCCGCAAACTAAACAAATCAAGTTAAGCTCTCCTTAATTTTCGTTCGAAAGTGGCCGGCACCATTTTGAAACAGTTTGCAGAAACCAGGGGCGTCGGAATCACGGGGGCAGGGGGAGCAGCCTTGTGCCCTTTGCTACCATATAAAAGTATAATAAATTCAACATTTAATCATGATGCCTACTTTTCTCATAAAAACTAAGCGGTAATATTATTGAAAATGCGTTCTCCCGTGGATTTGCAAGTTCGCATGTACTCATTGTAAATTTGAGTTTCCTCTTCGTGTGGTTGCTAAGGTAAAATGAATGTGCTCTTTTCTAAAACTCTGCCCCTGCCACCCTAAACTGCTTCCGGCGCCCCTGGCAGAAACAAAGGTCTGTGATAGACAAACAAAGGTCAGTTATCCAGGCTAGGATGACTGGGATTATTCCACTTTCATTGTTAAAGTATATTTTCATTAAATAGTATAAAATATATATTTATACTAATATACTAAAAGATAACCTTTTTGTAAAAAACCTGGCCTCGCCTGAAACGCCTGCTCGCAGGTTATATGCGTGTTGCGAGATTGCAATGTAAATATCTCCCACGCGGGACGACATTCCATACATAAATTTGTAAGGCAGTTTGTGAGAGTTTCTGGCATACTTGATATTTAAAATCTCGATAGAACGCAGACGATTATTGTCACAAGAAACCACATCAACACAGCGAAGGAAATATTACAAGCAAGATCTAGTTTGAAGTAATAAAGGTGATATTTTTATTTGAATTCTAATGTATTTAAATGTCGCAAATTATCGAACGTTTCATACAGCACGACTGTCCTGTGCCGATGGGAACGTAAACAATTATAAAAGAATATTTTTGGTTGGTCATTTCGATCAGGTTTGGTTGTAGTCACAGTATTTTGTGCCTTGTCGGTAAACCACAGAAAAAATCCTTAAAAACACTACTTATTTATTTATATAAAGCGCGTGTCTACCTTCCCTTAACATACACTGCCGAATAAGTGCAGATCTCCAACAGTCCAACTACGATAACTCTTATACGACGCGTTTTGTTGAGTCACCTAAACGATATAGCCTACTCGAAAAAGGTCAAGTTCTGAATCAAAATTTCTTTCGCTTTCCGTTTTCTTATTCTCTTTTATAAAAATTGAAGGTTTATATTATTAATGTGTGGTTGGTCTGTTAACTTTAATATATATTAATATTAACTTTACTATGTCTAAGGCGAAAGCCTGTCTTTCGGCGCAAAAGATGGCATTTCCTTACAGGATATTGTACTCTATTCGTCCTTAATTGTTTTTTGAAATCACTATTCGTATTCACTTGTGATTTATCGTCGTATTTGTTAAAATTTTGATGTAAACATATACATTGCCAAGATATTCTGTGTTATTTACACAAAGATATGTTACCTTACCAAATTGGTGACCAATATTGAGCACTTAATTTTGATTGAAGCAATATTGTTTAGTCTAAGGCACAGTAAAAAACATAACCTGATACAAGTAAAGTTTTAAAAAATGGTCGTTTAAAAAATAGCCAAGTTCATCAATTTATTTACAGCAATGCAATGTATAAAAATTGCAGTATTGTTGGTAACTTTTGAAGACCATTGATGTTTTCCACTGAAAACAATCAAACCTAGATATCTTATTTTAAATCAAAAATGGTAATATTTCATTTAATATTTCAGTTTTATGGTAAACACAGTTAAAAAACCAGCATTTTTAGATGGCTGCAATCGTAAACCCCTAAATCACCAGCGGCCGGTTGTATCAAGCCTGTTTAGCTGAAACGGTGGATAAGTCGAAATTAAATAACACTTTTACATCTCTCTTGAATAAGTCAACTTGAATATTATGCACTGAATATGTAGTTGTAAACAGTATCTTTGTATTAAGGTTGAAAACATTTAGTTAGCTTGTTTAATAAAACGATAGATTTTCTATTTTTAACTTATCCACCATTAAAGCTAAATGGGCTTGATACAACCGGCCCCAGTAATCTGTCTATACAATACGACCAATCTGATGATTTTGTCCCTAATTATGTCACGCAAATGTTTAGTGAATCCCATGCAAAATGTAATGCACTGCATATCAAACACTATAAAATTTTAACTTACTATGGACATAAAGTTTGAAGAGTTTACAATGAGAAATAAAGGTTAGCTCTCTTCTTATTTTAATCTGTGTGAGTATGGTGGTTAAATAAAGCTCAGGCAACAAAAGGAAATTTGCAATTATAATTAAATATGAAATGAAATCCCAGCATGAAAACTTTTTTAAAGTCATAAATGAACTCTTGGCATTTGATTTTTATAGCAACATACAATGTTGATCCTATAGCATAATACTAAAACTCACACTGACCAACTTGACTATATGACACTATTTGCCACACTCTGTATGGTTATATAATTTTACTTACTGAAAAGTATGCAATATTTTTCTTTGTAAATTCAATAGCCTGAGTGATGCTGAGTCCCTTAGCTAATGTTCATTAAATTTTATATACATATTTATTTATAAAAATTTTAAAAACAATATCAAAACCTTCGCTATATATCAAAATTTAAGTTCATCTTTAAGATTAAATAATATGTAGAAACTGCCTTAACATTTTCAGCAGTATGAAAACTTAAACACCAATGCTAGTCTTTATGATTTTCAATAGAATGATTTTGCTATTTAAGGTTTGGGTTTTTAAGGTTTATATCTAAAATATTTTAATTTTTTTTATTGATTAGGCAACAAACTTAAAGATGGAGATGAAACCTCTTCATGCTGATGCCCAGAATCATCAGAATGGTAATGGCAACACCAGGCCCTTTATACCTGCAAGCTCACACAGAATGATGTTTCCTACAAAGAACAGGTATTTAAAGTAGACTATATTTTAATGAAAGAACACAATGTCTTTATTTGCACAAAAAGTCCACAATAGCTAGTTGCATGTACAGTACTAGTATCTATAAACTATGTAAAATCAGTCATTTAATGTTTGCTGTAAGTTCATATTTTATGTGATATAAACGTCCGTATTCATAAACCAATTTCCTGCAGAACCCTAACCCTTTTTCAACTTGTGAAACAATGCTGAATCATTCATTTGTGGAACAGATTTAATAATCATGCATATATAGTGTCCTATGGATTAAAAAATGTTAAGTTTGGACTTGGAGTTTGTGGAGATTTCTTTTCTTAGTATTCTTAAATTAAGGATCCTCTTTAACGATTGTTGGTTCCAAAGCTGAAATTTTATTGCTCTTCAAGCATCTTTAGAACGGTTGAAAAAAATCACTATCCGGTGGATAGCGCTATCCAGCTTTCATACAACCGACCCCTGTTGTATAAGTCCAATACAAATATGTCTAAATAACGTGATCATATACAGTAGAACTCTGTTTTTATATATACGTAACATAAGTACGAGTAAGGCTTTAGCCGTTAGGTGCAACTAGGGATAACTGAGTGATGCACGAGTGACCTTTCATTTTATTTTAAAGTCGACTGCGAAAGTACATAGGCATAGCCTGAGTTCAACAGCGAAGGACGAGTGCACGAATTCGTATTAAATCGCACAAGAGATTATGTCAGCCGCTGAATTTGTTTTTAACCAAACGTGCGCCACCCATGTTTCTTTCTTCTGATTTCGCGGGTATTTCCAGGCTACGCGGTAGACGTTTGAATAAGTTTGATAATTACACTGTCAGTGTAACATATCTTGCACTTGTGTTTAGAGTAAATAAAGTCCTTGTTGCCCATACTATAATCACTATTTAAAGCACAAGACGATACTAAAGACAAACGTTTTCACATGACTTCTAATTAAGCTGCCATATGTGATTAGGCACAGGGGGGGAGGGGAGGGGGGCTTTAACGCAGGGTGTCAAAATGTCAACAAGATATCAACTTGTATCACTTAGAGTACACTAACCTGGACGATATTATCTGGACCAGTATTAACATTTTATAACATATGTACCTTATTTCGTTTTCAGATTTGGTAATTATCAAGCAACTCGAGCTGACAAAGTCATTCTTGTAGCTGCGCTTTTTCTCAATACTTTCCTCCTAGTAAGTTCATTACAAACTGCATCATAATAAACTTTAGCAATGATTTAGTTAATTCCAACTATTTTTGAACTACAAAAGCATGAACTGTAAACAAATGTCAAAGTACATTAGAATTTGAAAATTAAGCGAGCATAAATTACCTTAAAGGCCCGTTTACACTTGCAATGGTGCGATTTTATATGCGATTTTATATGCGATTTTCTTCTTTTGGTAGATGTGAACGTGTGACTAGTTAGGAATGCTCTGATGCATAAGAGCTCTTATTTGAACATCCGTAACTAATTCACTCGTTCACATCTATCAAAAGAGGAAAATCGCACATAAAATCGCAGCAAAAATCGCGAGTGTAAACGGGCCTTAAGTTTGATTTTGAGATTCTTTGAGCTATTATTGATCAGGAGGAGACTCGCGTTGAGATAGCGCGGGAACAATAGAACTCCAGTCTTGAATAATGCGAATGTTCATCCCTGTTACTATCCATGACTCCTCAGTTTGTCCAATATTTCGTGGAATCTCTATGAATTTTGAAATACAATCTCTTCATTGTCCACACTCCAGCCTTCGGTAATTTGCAGCCGAGGATCATGACTAAATAAACTCAAATGAAATTAAAATCAGTGAGTTTAAGATTCACCAAATCTACGACGCGGACATGAAGTAATACTGATCTAATTTCCACAGTTTCCCAACAGGGATGGAAATTATAGACTCCTTTTTATAAACAAAGTCAGAACCGCGTATGGAAAAGAAATTAATTTCTGGTTTCCTCATACTAGTAGCAACTTTTTATGTCACGTTCGCGTCCTAGATTTGGTGGATCTTTAAATCGCTATTGTCATAATTAAGGTCATAATGCTGCGCGCACCGGCCAAATACATTTACACTGATGCCAGAATTCTGGGGGCGGTTGTTGCATGTAAAGGAGTTTAGCCTAAACAGCGATGAGTTCAAAAAAGAAAGCATCATTCATCTTGTAGTAGCAGATGAGTGATTTTGATTTTTGTTTAATTTTACTTTTAATTCTTGCCCTATATAGATTCTCGCGTGTGGAGCTTTATTTGTTGGGATTTATTTGAACACTTACCGGGGGAGTTACGTTGATTTATGTTCTGACAATGAATGGTTTGTTGCCGCTGGCTGCATGCTTGCGGTCGGTTCTATACTTCTCATCATTGTAATCATGGTGTTTGTCGCAGCTTGTTACAAGAAATCAAGATTGATGGCATTAGTAAGTATAACTATCTTGAAGTACCCTGAAATGGAAAGTTCGTACATCCTAATCATGCAACTAATTTCATCTCTGTGTAGCAAGTACATACTGCATCGGTCATACTGTGGCCAGTTGTTCAAAAGAACGTTAACTTAACCGAGGGTTGACGCAAATTTACATCCTTTTTTTCATCGCTTGTTTATAAAAGTTGAATATTTTTTCATTGAGTATTTTCATAGAAGTCATATTTGTAAAGATGGTTTAAATCGAGAGGTGTTGCAGAAGCACATAAATTAAAACATTGGAATTTAACCTAGGGTTAGCGATAACCCATCTATAGCTTTTAGATTCCCGCCGTTCTATTTTTAACAACGTTTCTGGATTGTTTTTAAAAAACTCGAAAATTTATCGTATGTGTACATTTAGTTCAGTTGGGAAAACAAAGGAAGAAGATGAATCTGCATGACATACAACATTGTCAGTGGGAATTTCCTGGCAATTTCCAACACTCTACTTTATTCGGACGTGCAGTTATTTTGTATAAAAAATATTTTAGTTGATACAGACGGCAACCTTATAGCTACTATCGTGTAATAATGGATCTTTATTTTATTTTTAGTCAATCTTATTCCTGTTTCTCTTATTTCTCTGCGAAATGACAACTGGGGTTTACGCATTCGCCAGAAGAGAATTCGTAAGTATAAATGTAACTACGTAAAGTAGAATCACGACTGATCAGGGTCGCGGGATTGGGGAAATGCAAACTAAATGTGTCCTTTTAGTAACCAACAAATTAATACGTGCATGTTGCATGAACTAATGTATAAACAGAACCTTCACATGAGAATTCATATAAGCCTTGATTTATAATAACTATACATGTAAGATTGCTCATGAGGAAGTTAGATTGCTGCATGATGAGGAATTTTCATTTTTGTTGGTGCACCTCCCCCCCTGCTCACTTCATTCCCACTTACAGTTTGTGGTTCCGTAGGTCATGCCAGAGACGCGTTTGGCAGCTTCCCACCGCTCTTTTCGTACGGGAAAATTAAGTATTGTTGCATGTGGTTGGTTATTTTAGCAGCTATTTTTTTACTTCTCAGATTGACGAAAGATTTGCCACGTGTATGATAGACGCGTACCAAAATAGATACATGGACCCAGAATTTCCTCACGTCACAGAAGCCTGGGACCTCTTCCAAGACAGGGTAAGCTACACTGTATAAAAATATTTAACGTGGAACGTTAAACATCACACTATAGCTATATCGGTAATATACTGTATATATGCATACAGTACAGTATATACCGATCGCGCGAGTTTAGCATGATTTCAGTCTTTATATTTATGCAATATGCGTGCAACTAGCACTACGACTGCTTCCAAACTGACCATTTATTGCCAGTATTTACTACTTACCTACAGCATTTTACTTAAAATTTCTGATTCTAGTATAAGCAGTATTTGTTCTTGTTTTCTAGTTTGATTGCTGTGGTGTTAATGATCCGCTGGATTATCTTGCAAACAAGCGCTTTCATAATGCTCCCAAAGCATGTGGCGGACGAAAAGAAGATGCCGCTGGACGAGTAAGTGAATCCTTCATTTGCACATCAGTGCCATAACAGTTGCCAGTTCTGAGCCAATCCTACTCGATTATATTGAGTTGAACAACCGTTTAAACCTAGTTGTATGCGAGGTGACGCCATGCATATATCGTATAGTAGCTGGGGCAAAATCTTAAAACAGGCGCCTGTACGGTTGTGATTGTATGGTTGGTACTGACTGTGGTCGACAACGTAACGACTGTATGGTTGGTACTGATTGTGGTCGACAACGTAATGACTGTATGGTTGGTACTGACTGTGGTTGACAACGTAATGACTGTATGGTTGGTACTGACTGTGGTCGACAACGTAATGACTGTGTGGTTGGTACTGACTGTGGTTGACAACGTAACGACTGTATGGTTGGTACTGACTGTGGTTGACAACGTAATGACTGTATGGTTGGTACTGACTGTGGTTGACAACGTAATGACTGTATGGTTGGTACTGACTGTGGTCGACAACGTAATGACTGTATGGTTGGTACTGACTGTGGTTAGCAACATTTGAACAGCACTCTGTCTCATATATAAAATGATTTTATTTCTTCTGTGAGTCTGTCACAATTAAAAGTGATCCGTGATTTTTTTTACTTTTAGCATCCATGCTACAGAGTGATAAAAGAACGAGTGCTTGACAACTTTTACATTATTGGAGGTGCTGCTATTGGTATTGCGCTCATCCAGGTTAGTGCCGTGCTGAGTGCTGTCTTCTATTACAAATATAATACATTCTCATTGAAGCATCTTCGCCTGGTAAATATCTTTTTCCTAGCCTTTCGGAACCCTAGCCTTTTCTGTAATCTGATTGGCTGCAGAAACGGGCAATATTTTACGATATCTGCATGACCACGGTCCGAAATCTTATATTTTATGCTCGAACGAAAGCGTGTTTGTTTTGTTTTTGACTTTCGACTTTACTTTAAAATATATGGACCAAATAATTATCACGATAAATCCAAGTGAATTTTGGTAAATTAAACAAATGAGGTTTTAATTGTTTATGTTATTGTCGCCATTGCTGAGTTTGACTGCACAAGTAATAATACGACCGAACGCCGCTTTTTTTAAAAAAGTAAATACGTTATTTACCGTTTTGGTCGGTCAAGATAGAAAAATATTTTCCTTTTAAAAAACCTTTTTACCGTTTTAAAAAACCTCTTCACAGCTCGGGAAAATATTTTGCTGGTTAAACTATGCTGAATATTGAAGACTGTAAGACTTCCCCTCTGTTTGTTTGTTTGTTTGTTTGGTGTAAGTTTGACAATGATGTATACCTTGTAAGAATGACATACATTTCTTTTCCCTTTGTCAACGGATATTACTCCCATTTCTTGCTGTAAGAATTTGCAGTGACAAGGGAATGACTTCTGGTGGATAAAATATATATTTTGATTTGTGCTCTAACGTTATATTTTCTCTCTTTTCTACTGTAGGTTCTAGCGATGATTCTTAATGGATTACTTCTTCGCATCTATCACAAAAGGGAGGAATTTGAGTGAGCTAAAAAATGCAAACATTTTAGATGTAAAATATTTTGTTTTACCAGGTTTTAAATATTTAACGCATCATTTTGTATGTACGAATCCATATCTTGCATATATTTAGGAAGGAATTCGCGAACCGGTTTTATATATTCATTGACTGCCTAATTCTTAGGTTTTAAATGTTAACTTTTGGCGTGTCTTGATTTGAAAATTTATAAGAATGCAATTTAAAGCGACCAAAAATGTCAGCGGCAAAAGAAAATATTAATCCTTTAAAGTCGATGGTTGCAAAGATAAATTGTGCATGAATTTTACGCACAGAAGGGTATTTCAGAAGCACAATAAGTTTGTGAAGGACTTCCCTAGAAGACGTTGTCATGCTCATTCAAGATCAATATTTGTATTCGTCAATCATCAACGTATAGTTTTTTACGCAAGATGGTATAATTACGACTGTACTGTATGAATACACTGTATGTACATAAGTGTAAAGAAAGAATAAAGAGAATGCTAAAGAAACTGTTTTCATTAAAGCCGCGAAGTTTTCAAAGAGCAACTGAACTAATGCTTATTGTATCTAAAAGGGTTGAATAGGGTTAATGCATGTATTGGATAGTTATTAGGTACACATGCAGTTATCCACAACGAACCCAACGAGGTTGGTTTTTTCTCCCCAAGAAAAAAAATCCTTAGTACGAGGTTGCAAGAACTCCCGATGTAGTGAACACCATGCACTTCATGTGTGGTAATTGGCTATCGTAAAATTCGAGTGTGGATTTGCTTTAGTATTGTTTTATTTAATGCAATTGGTTATAATGGAGAGGTTGTTCGCATGATCCCGATTACCTGAGATTACTGCATGAAGACTAGAGAAATTTCCAAACAATAAAATTATGTCTCAATGAGACAGAACGAGCCCATGCCTTCGACGGATGCCGACTTAAGTTGAAGCTATTTAAGTTTACGTCACTCTACCCATCAAAATCTGCAGCAGGTAAGGCTGTATGGACTTACTGTATATTCCTTATACTGCTAGTAGTAGTAAAGTACTGCCAGCTAGCTAAAAGCTTTCATATAGCTAAAAACCGCCACTAAATGCAATCATTGACCAGAAATACAAAAACAGTAAAAATGCGTGAAATGATTTTCAATGTTAATAGAAAATCCATTGTTGAATATTGATATAAATACCTTCTACAGCAACGTTCCAAAAGAAAGGCGTGAAACAGACGTCGTTTATACGGTACACGCGCTAACAGCAAACTGCAAGTTTCAAATTGCTTTCGGGGGAAAACCGTCACAAGTTTTTGCCAGCTAGCTCCAAGTAGCTAATTCATGCTTCAGTTTTTATAGACATGCAAATTGCCCTGACTTCGAACAACTAACAGTTGCCGAGTTGGCCTCAAAATATGACTTGAAATTTGCAGTTAGCCGTGTGCCTTGTGCCGTAATTAAACGTCAATCTTAAGGTGCCTAAGATATCGTATGTACGTCTGATGATCTGATTTCTGGAGGTGAAAATACGTAAACCATCGGTTACTTCCCTTTTATTTCACTGGTTGCAAAGAGCTTTTCAGTCGTGGACAAAGCCAAGATGATGAATTTTTATGAACAGATGATGAATTTTTATGCTATTTTATCATCATTTCGAAAAATTACTCCATTGAAGTCATATTTTTGATTGCTTAAACATAAAAAATGTTTTGGATATTCAAGCGTCGCAAATTAAAGTAATTAATTGAGATGACTCAATGTCCAATCAAGCCGTCATGATCAGATATAGGAGCTCTGGCCATGGTAAATACGAAAACTGAAAGCAGTATTGAATCTAGGAACGTTTCCAACGGAATCATATGACTGAGAATGACGGAGTTTTTTTTCGTGTAGACGTAACTACGGAAGTGTCACCTTGTTGTTTGAAATATGGTGAAATCCCACCCGGTGTTTCATGAGGTGATTGTTTTCATTGTGTCGTGTTTCAGTCTGAAACAATCTCTACAAATATCCTTTCTTTTTAAAATAGTCTGCAGATTGAACTAAATGAAGAGAAGAAACATGAGGATTCTGTGTGTTTTGTTTTGTGTAGCTGTCTGTTGCCAATCAAGTAAGTTTCATGTTAACTGATTCAGTCGCCCGTACGTTCTAGATGTAATCACTCATCATCGGTAACATAGCCATAGGCGATTTTCGACTGCTGATAAAAATGTTCTTGTTTAGTATTATAGCTTTGCGAGCGATTGTCGATTGAAATATGTTACCCAACTGTGATCACAACTATATCATTAACTGTGTGATTAAGGAACCGCCGAATGTTTCATGATTAATAAACCATCACTTTATTCATATTAATCATATATTTGTAACTGCTTTGCAATTCCCACAAGTTACTACAACAGACCTTACAGATAACGTAATGACAATTAGGTATATTGGCACAGCTATACTGTTATAGTTACAGCAACTTTTACCCTTCTCTCATGAAATATGATTGCGCGGTTTTAGACAATTCAAATTATTGATCGATAATTAATGTGTCGCACGCTACTGTACTGTATGTTAGACTGTTAGTAATGCTGGAACCGTTAATCTATGGTTAGTATTTGCATGGAGCAAATATTTTTATGCAGCGACAGCGATGAACGATCCTGGTTTGATTTTTTTCACATAAACTATATAAGAAACCGTCAATGGTCAAAAATTACGAGACACGTTGCACGAAAGCATGTTACGCAGCAAGTGCCAAGGCGAAAAATATGTAGTGCAATTGTTGCAATAGACAGGATTTGCACCAATGGGATATTCCATCACTTCATTCAAAACCATTTACGCTTTACTGAATGATATAATGTTCGGCCTAGTTGTATTAACTCCCGATACTTCAAAGTTTTGTACTATTTTTGCAACCACTGGTGGGCAATGCCAATGGTTGAAATGGGTATACTGGCTTACACGAGCCTATAGGGAACCACGAAACATCGTCCCCTCGTCACTTTTATTCAGGAAAGGGAAGATACGTCTTTTGGGGTGTCTTCTATTGCGTATGTTGAATAAAAGTTAACAATTGTTTTTGTGCATTTAGCATTTCCGTGGAAGCTATTATACGCCAATGAGAAGGATATTCGTTTGTTTTGGTCAGACAACAAAGGTTCTGCCAGTGAGCGGGTGATTATTTCAACAGACGATGCAGTCGCTGTTGATTTCCTCTACAAAAATCACTTGATATTTTGGAGCGATGTCTCAGAAGAAAAAATATTTCGTTGCTCTCTTAAGACTACATGTAAGGCAAAAGTAATTGTATCAGGATCCCTGGGACGGCCTGAAGGTCTGGCTGTTGATTGGCTGACAGGGAAACTATACTGGACAGATTACGATTTGAAACAAATATGTGTCTCGAGTATTGATGGGAAGTATCGTAAAGTTTTGATATGGAAAAATCTTGATAACCCCAGAGCAATTGCAGTGGATCCTAATGCTGGGTAACTACTATTATTATCAAATTTTACCTTTTTATCATTGAAGTAGTTTACACTACAGTATACCTGTTAACTCCTGGTATAGTGTGAAAAGTTGGAGGAGTTCTGAACTGTTCGACTTTCGTGTTCTCAATTAGGCCAACAACTACAATAAAGTCATATGGTGAATTTAGCGCGCACATGCGCAAATGTAGAAAGAAATTCAATTGTTCTAAACTTCTAATGACGGCTTTTTATTTATCAAACTCTCAATCTTTTGCATTCTTACTTTTACTTGCTAAATTTGTTAATATTTCACCCGCCATTTGATTTACTGTAAACCAACCGAGTAACTAAACAGTTCAAGTTCATTATTATCACTAAACTTGTTGTACATCATTTTTTACATTGATGTTAAAAATTGTTTGTAGTTTTATGTTTTGGTCAGACTGGGGTGAGGCACCAGGAATATCACGTGCTGGTATGGATGGTACAAATCACAAGAACATCGTGAGCACGTCCATTACCTGGCCAAATGGTCTCACTCTTGACTACCACGAAAGCAGACTTTACTGGATCGATGCAAGACATGAATACATTGCAAGTGTTGATTACCATGGCAACGGCAGACGTATAACGTACTCGCAAGCTGCCAATCATCCATACTCCATAACAATGTTACGGAAACAGCTTTACTGGACTGATTGGGACACGAATTCAATACAAAATTGTGCTGTATTGAGAGCGAATATGAGTAATTCAGCAAATGTGATCAAAACAAATATTTATTCTCCTATGGATATTAAAACTTACGATCCTCAAAGACAGTCAAATGGTAAGTTGTGACTTGTTCAGTATACGTCTGTTTGGTAGCCTTGAAAAAAAAAGTCTTAACTCTGTTATTGAAAGCACATTAATGCAATGAGTCACACTGAACTTTATACACATATATGTATATCTTTTAGTTTCATTCAATCCTTGTGAGAGAGAAAATGGTGGATGTAGTCATCTTTGTTTGTTGGCTCCAGGAAAGCGTTTTTCGTGCGCTTGTCCTTCTGGAGTTGTTTTAAAGTCAGACATGAAAACTTGTGAAGATGGTAAGCAATAACAAGACGAAGTGTGAAATGCGGTATAAAGCCATTTTTATGCGGAATATAGTATAATAGTATACACTGTAAAGGATGCAGACATGAAAAAACGTACAGAATTTACTTTACAGTAGAGTTTTAAAATATCTCCAACAGGCCCTCAAAAGTTCCTTTTGCTTACAAAACGAAGAGGAATCAGTATTCTCTCCTTGAGCACACAAGAACACACTGATCTCAAACTCCCAATTGAAGATATCGGTCACGTGATTGCGGTTGATTTTGATCCGGTTCAGAAGTCGCTGTGTTGGATTGATTCCCAGTATCATGAGATAAAGTGCGCGAGCATCAATGGTTCTGGTAATGTAAAATATTAGTGAATTGTCTGATATTTAATCTTATTCCTTTTTTTTTCAACAAACAGGGGCCGGTTGTATCAAGCCCGTTTAGCTTAAACGGTGGATAAGTTCAAATTAAATAACACTCTTGCATCTGTCTTGAATGAGTCACTGAGTCAGCATGAATATTATGCTCAGAATATGTAGTTGTTAACAGTAGCTTTGTATTAAGGTCAAAAACATTTTGTTCGCTTGTTGAATAAAACGGCAGACTTGCTTTCTATTTTGAACTTATCCATGCACCGTTTAAGCTAAAGTGCTAAACGGGCTTGATACAACCGGCCCCAGGCCAATAAATGGATACATTAGATTTCAGGTGGTTATTATATTATCATGCCACAGAATTAACAAACAACGAAGACTCTTCTTTCTTTCCACTGCTGACACTGAATCATGACTCAACTGAATAGCGTAAAGTTTCAGGAAATGCAAATGTTTCTCTAAAGACTAGACAAACTAAAAACATTACTTTATGTTTTGTCAGGTGCGAAAACAATTTTCGAAAACAATAGTTCCTCAGCAGAAGACTTGGCAATTGATTGGGTAAATCGAGGTATTTATTGGACAGATTCAGCATCAGATATTATTGCAATGGCGTATTTGAACGGAACTTCAGGAAAAGATATTGTATCACGTGGCCTGGATGAGCCGAGAGCAATTATTATTGATCAACAGCAGAGGTATGTAATTACTTCATGTTGCAAATGTTAAAACTCGAGAGCAAAACACGAAGATTTTCTTTTTAGACGAACTGCAATTGCCTCAAGAATGGGAATTAACGTTTTCAATTTTTTTATTGCAGGTTTATGTACTGGTCAGATTGGGGAGAAAATCCTAAAATAGAGAGAGCGATGTTGGATGGAACAAAGAGAGAAATTTTGATTAATACTTCAATAGCTTGGCCAAACAGTCTGGTGTTAGACTATCAGCAAAGGAAACTTTACTGGGCGGACGCTAAATTAGATAAGATTGAATCATGTGACCTGACAGGATCTGATCGCGTGATTGTTACACGCGAGGATGTCCCGCATATATTTAGCCTGACTTTGGTCGGGCAATATTTGTATTGGACTGACGTGCAAACTAGGATGCTCGTAAAGATGGATAAGAGTGATCCTAAAAAGAGGGAGATTATAATTAATTATGTTCCAAATATGATGGCCGTAAGAGGGGTCGATCTTCAGACAAATTAAAAACTGTGAATCGTGCTTGCATGCTTAGCAACCCGGTTTACAATGTAAAATTTCTTGTGATCAGTGGCATGCAGTTGGCAATTTTAAACTGAGTTATCCATCAAGATACTCGCTGCGCAAAACATTTAGAATTTGGGGTTTACCAGTGCAAATTTTCAACTGTGAACACAAGTTAGGGCTTTGACAGTGTAACCGGGCCTTATATTCAAGCGTTTGTCTGATCAGCTAATTTGTATTTAATACAAAATGGCCCGATTTTTACTGAGAGACAGATCATCCATCTGGACAAACTTTCGTCTGTGTTTACGGATCATTCATCAACACGAATTATCCGCATAGTTCGTCTATTCAGACGAATTTGAATGGCAGTTCCTCTTCGCGCATCATTCGTCTGTTAGTAAAATACAGGGTGCATGGGGAGAAACTACGAAAAATTCTTCATAAAACGGCCGCTCTTGTGCACTCTTTTTACCACAAAAATGATTTCCTACAGTAATTCCGTGCACTTTGTAAACACGCGATTCTGTTTCGTTTGACATATTCGTCTGGATAGTTCGTCTACATAGTTTGTTGTGTGTTTATACTCAGACGAATGATCAGGCGGATTATTCGTCCAGACGGATCATTCTTCTCTATGTAGTATAAATCGGGCCACCGTGCATGCTGATAACAATTTGTTAAACCCGTTAGTGGAAAGTGCACGCTTGGGTTTAAACAATTATGTTCATTAACATTGCTGATGGGGTAAACACTTTTGAAATAACAGTGTTATCACGCTTTTGGGATTTTAAAATTACATTTTGATTTTCCTTGTCATCAAGATAGCCAATGCATGAATTGTATTTACGAATTAGATTGCAGTAAGAACTGTAATGACTTGAATATATGTAAAAAAATTGTTATGATCAGTAGCAAGTTCTGCCAAGTGCCAAAATGAATTCGACATTTCGATCGCGACTGATGAATTTTGTTCAAAACCTGAAGTGGTCAAGCCAATAGACTTAACCCAGAAAGCATCTTAAAGAAGCTAGTGCATGAATCACCAATGGTCTGACGATCAGAGGAGTAAAAAGCGCTGGTTTAAATGACAAAAATACCGAAGCAAAATTTGAAAGCGGTAATTAACGCCGTTCTTTTAAATCTGAAGGATCGAGCAATCACATAAACATTCAACGACTAGGAGGACTGCAGGTCTGCAGCACTATAGCAGGGTAAGTGAGACGGGGCTAATGTATTAGCTCGTAGAGCGGGGCTAATGTATTAGCTCGTTACACTGGCAAATACGCCCTTACGAACGAGTTTTGCCATTCGGGCAACCGGCCACGTACTGCAACTGATGAAACATGTCATAGCTGCATGCTGGCTGCGGCCTCGAGTGCTACGATTCCGTTTGTAGGTGATGGACAAAAATTCACTTTCGTGTCTGCGAATGCTCTTGTTTGGACAATCTGTCTGTCAAGATAGCTTTCGTTTGCCGCACACGAAACGTTTTTTGGCAGTGGGTATAGAAGCTATCAATATTTGCCGTACCTAGTGTGAATGACTATAAAACCAGAAGATAGCACTCGTGTGCGGCTGGCTTTAGAAATATGATAATTTTGATAACCATTTAAAAACATCAAACATGATAGCCTCATGCAGTTAAATATCGTTGCTCAGCCGTGGATCTAAACTTCTGGCAAACGTCTGGCAAACCAGAAACATGAAACGCTATATTACATCTCTGGCAAAATTCTACTACAACTCTCAGCGCAATGCAATTATTGAATAAGGGGCTGTTTACATGAGCCCGGTTACCCGAGATTCAACGAAGCGTGAGATGATTTTGAGGTATTGAAATGAGCAGATAACATGATCCTGGCAGTCGTATAATCACCACAATGATGGGGGGGGGGGAGTGCTGGCTCGCGCGGGCAGTTGGATGAGTTCTTGGCTAAATCGTCCCGCCCACTTCTAAGGGGCTGTTTACATGAGCCCGGTTACCCGAGATTCAACGAAGCGTGAGAGGACTTTGAGGTACTGAAATAAGTCTTTACGACACCAAACAAGCACATGCTATTGTGGTATACGCAGATACTTACTCTGCTTATTCTGTAAATGCAATTCACAATATTGTGAACTGTGTAATAATGAAAAGTAAAGCTTTGACCGTATATCTGGTTAATAGAAGTAAGAATGTTACTTAGCTAAAATCAGGCTTTAAAACAAAGAAACTGTATTTAAACTTTATTAAATAACTTTACTATTTTACTTAAATAAATGCTTGTTTCAAATCTTTTAGCGGCAGTCGTAACAACGTAAAAACATAACCAACTCCGCTATTAAACTAAATGCTGAATTATAGAAACATTCATCAGATCCGAGTTGTAACAGCTGGGACGAGCATATATATTACGAGGAAAAATTTGTACGATATATTTCACACTTTTCAGTATTTTGCAACCAATTTTACAAAGTTTATGATGCTTTTTCCGGTTGTACAGTCTGTACCGATGAATATTCCTAGTTCTAAATTCAGTTTACTGGGTCTGGGGCAATTGTCCGTCAACGAACAAGGCCTATGTAGGTCTATCTAGTGACTTTATAGTAAGACTTTCTCCGTCTCTGATCATAAAATCCTAATCTATATACAAGCATTAGATTCTAATAATTTATTATAAGTGAAAATATCAACGCATACATGCAATATACGAGTGAAAAAGCGCGGGCAAGAAAGGCATCAGTTCGGGTGAGCAACTCACGATTAAACGTTCTAATAATATTATTAGTCAAACATCGAAATAATAGATGATAAACATGCAGCACAATATCATGTGAACCATGCCTATCTCGGTACTCGGGAGTTTCGCTAATTTTCGATGTTTCTAGGTATTTGCTAGCTATAGAAGTTTGACACTCAGCCTCAGGCAACACATGCACATTCTATATTCTAATCCTAATCGTGAGGTAAAAGTATTAAACAGTTTTAAAATTAATACGTTTTAACGGTAGTAATATACCGTTTCCAAAATTATGAACTATAAAAATTCAGCAGCTACAAAAAGCAGCCGCAAATTGAGTAAAATTGAAGAGTTTGGGTGCAAAATAGTGTAAAATGTAACCAACGGCAATGTAGCCGAGCGAAAATTTTATAAAATTTTGCAACTAAAATTTCCGATTTTGTCAATTTAGGATGTTCTTCGCAACCGTATTCAGTACGAATCTTCGTACCTCAAAGACTTAGTTCGATAACAGAATGCAAGGTCTATATTTTCAGTTTATCAATATAGCTACTTCAGATAATCGCTCCGCTGCATGTTTATTCGTAACTTTGGATTTTTATTTTCGAAGTTCCGAAATTTCTTAAAAGACTTTTTGATTATCAAAGTATTTGATCCAGGGCCTCATATTTTTTATATGCTGCCAATAGTAAGAGGAAGAAACGAAGAACTCTTGAAAAAAATAACTAATAATAATATAGCTACTGCCGTTATGAGACCCTCTACAGGGTGTATCAAAAAAAAGGTAATCCAACTTCAACACGCTATTGTACGTGAACTACTCAGTCTATGAACGAATTTTTTTCACATTCGGAAAGATCAGGCTTTTAACTATCGGATGACATGTTTTTTAATACCAAATGGTGAAAAAATGAGCAAATAGGAGGCTGATAAAAAGTGTTAGTCAAAATGCATATTTTCACCTTTGAGCCTAATTAAAGCAGTGCATAACAATAGAAAAAAACAATTAATCACAACATGTCACAGCTTGCACTGGTTTTATGCCGCATTGCTTAGAATGTTCTCCTAATGTGATTTATTCCTACTTAATATGAATATGCGGGTCGCTTATTCAAAAGCAAAATTCTTCATTTAAATCCCAAAGAGATTTCATTTTCAATGGTTTTAGTCCCAACTCTCAGAGGTGAAAATATGCGATTTTGACTAACACTTTTTAGCAGCCTCCTATTTGCTCATTTTTTCACCATTTGTTATCAAAAACATGTCATTCGATGGTTAAAAGCCTAACCTTTCGGAATGTGAAAAAAATTCGTTAATAGAATGAGTAATTCACGTACAATAGCGCACCAAAGTTGGATTACCTTTTTTTTGATACACCCTGTAGTTGCAGAAAACGTCCTTCAATTCCGGAAGCTATGATATGACTAAAGTAGTTTTCGAAACATAACTTTCATGAATATGATCAAAAACATTGACTACGATAAATCTAATAATTGTAAATAAGCTCAAAGAGTTCAAAAGCGCGATATGGAATCCTAAATATAGATATCGGGAGATCTAAAACTTGTTTTTCAAAAGCTCAAACACAAGCGACGTTTCTGTTGAAAGTGACACATTCCTTCTTTAAATAATGATTAAGATTGTCGTGTAGAGAAAAAATATAAGAAAGGTCTCTTTCCAGTGGAAACACGCCATAATGAAATATCAAGTGATTGAGGGAGAGTGTAAGCTTTAAGAAACCAGGTTGGAGATCTCCGAGTGATTACTTAAAAATTTAAAAATCGCTTGTTTCCTTCAATTCATGTCCCTCCAACTTGTTTTTATCGAAATACCCTTTGCCATCGCACAAAGAGCAAACTATACCTTCTTTAGGTTGCTCTTGCTGTTTTGTTTTAAAGAAAAACTGTTTTAGTCTTCTTCCCACAACTAATATGGAACCTGTTTCACCTTCAGGTCCAATCAATGCCATCACAGTGGGAAACAGAAACACAGAATACAGAAATGAAAAACCAATTGTTGCAAATATGAATAGTCCAAATTGGACGAAAAATAGAACCTGGGCAGCCAACATGAACATCGATGCACCCAAAGTTGAACAAGCGCCGGATAAGACAGAAACACCGACATGTGATAGCGCATAACGGACTTTGTATGATCTTGTTTCGTGTTGTAATTGCATATAACCCTCTGCCAAATGAACGACGTAATCAACGGCAAGTCCCACAACTAAGGTAAGATTTAATGATTCCAATGGTCCGAGTTTCCAACCAATCATATTGATAACGCCAAGCACCGTACACGTGATTAAGGCGATAATAAACGTTGCTAGGAAACCGACAATGAAGTTTGTAGTTGTAAGCACAAGGATGATAAGAGCCATAGTTATTCCAATGACGATTCCTGTCAATGCATTAAGCACCAGAATCTAAAGGAAAAAATAATAATCTCTAATGTCACATTTGCTACCCTAGGATTTTATTCAGACAGTATTATACAAACTTTTTCTGGGTATGTTTGTTCCGTCCACCTGCACGGCTGATGCAAAGACAGACAGACACAAGTATGTTGTACTATTGTGTGCCTCATGCAAGATGGCGGAAAATAACTTGATATCAGTGAACTCAAATAAGACAGGAACGTTCACTCTCCGACTTTCCCTCATTAATGAGTGAAGCCAAAATGGCGGAACATGAAGCCCCTTGTCTAGGTATGATATCCAGGCCTCTGGCGCGGAAATTTCAAAGGAAAATCATAATTGCCGCATTCTTTACTTACGAAATTTCCGCGTGGAGGCCTGAATCATACCTACAAGAAAGGCTTAAGTGTCCGCAATCTTGGCTTCAAACTTCCGACAGAGTGAGCGTTCCAGTCTTATTTGAGTTCACTGCTTGATATACGATCTACTAAGGGGCTATGCGGTGCAAGATGCTTTACTTCAAGGCTAAAGACGCCTTCACTTTGATCAAGGTTTAACACGCAGCCAGGCTCCTAATCAAAATTTCCTAATCAACTAATCATATTGTCTTCATTTGTAATATAATTATTGCTAAAATATATTGGATTAGTTTTGCAATCTAATATTACAAAACATTAGTTGAAAAAATTCGCCATATTATTTGATTACACTAATGGATGTTTGTTTCCAGGACTTTTGACATACTCGGCACGAATACCAGCGTAATATGGGAGTGTATAGTTGGTGGATTATTCCTTGCGGTATATTTAATGACATAACATTTTTACCTCCTGAACTTTTAACCAATGCCAAAAGTTAATGTTCTTTTGTACGGTGGCTTGAAATGCATTGTTACAGGAAGGTGGAAATTTCTTCATCTGAAAACACATTACATAAACAATGAAAAGTCGTAATAAGATCATTATAAGACTGAAATAGCTTGAAAGTTTCATTAAAGTGTTACAGTAAATCTGATTTTACTATTTGTAGCACTTGCATTGACCTAGAATTTGAACCCATTAAAATCTTAATGAAAGTAAATTAAAATGTACTTGTACATACTTTGTTAGTCACAAAATTCTCCCAGTCTCTATAAATGGGCAGACCTTCTTCATACCCTAGTGACAATGGGTTGACTGTGGTATTTACAGCAATCGCGACGTAGGAAAGACGTTGTCCGTATGCGTTACCTAAAAACACAAGCACAAGACAAAACAACATAAATCAGTATTAGAGTTTTCAAGTCTTAATTTCAAACTTACAGCTGAAACCCAAATATTATTGAGTTTACCTCTGCCTGGTGTTTAAACTATGAATTAAAAGCGCATGCGTGTACACCCCATGAAGAGGAAACGTCTGCACACTATATGGAGAAATATTTTCTTACTTTTCGATGTAATTTTGGTTATCGTTTTTGGATCAGGAACACCTCCTAAGAGACTTTCATATTTCTTGAAATCGTAAGTTGTAGCGTAGTTAGGAGACACGCCATCGGTTATGAAATATCCAAGACCAACTTCAAAATAACGATAAAATGAATCAGACAGCAAAGAAATGTTATAATGTTCCTCGTTGTTTTCCATCAAAATCCTCATTTTATTTGAATTTATCACAAACGAGAAGTCTGAATCATTCGGATATTTCGGTTTCTTTGCTTCCTCCTGCACAAAGAAAAAAGTAAAAACTCTTCAGTACTAATTCTGATCATTAAACATAAGAGCCATCTCTGATGGCTTATCTACATGCAGTTACTCTCTGTATACAAAAATATGTGAGATGTTTAAATTTAATAACAACGACATTTCGCAAGAAAATCGCTTTCTGTAATCACGTCTTGTTGAAAGTAAACGTGAGAAAATTATTTCTAGCCTGACTTTTGATGTTGAAACCGTGCAGAGATCCTTTTTCACAATTTTGCATTTTTTGCATTTTACATGAAATTTTGCATTAATATTTGGAAACCATGCATGGTCGCGTGACCTGACGAAGTAACCCCATTGCGTGGATAATTCTTTCACTATGCGACAGATTTGTACAAGTATGAACAAAAGGATAGAACAATAAAAAGGGCGATAACGTGTTGCCAACTTACACGTTCATAACCCCAGAGTTTTTTTAACACATTTAACGATAACGAAATTCGATTATTCGCATTGACCCATGCACCACTATATTACAGCTCACAATAATATTTTACTGCATAAAACTACACATATAAAGATTAAAGACCTATGTATAAGCGTATTATTCAAACCTTTAAATATTCATTCATTCTTTCAAAGACACAGTTGATTTCAATCTCTCCAGTAACGTCACTTCTTCTCAACCTTAAAGACTTTTCTTCTGCAGGCGAAGGTGATTTCAACTCTTTGCAAAATTTCTAGTGCCACGAAAAGAATGCATTACGATTTTTCTTATATAATTAGGTTCTTCCTATTTATTTTAGCATGAAATGTGGTATAACAACTGCCTAAAATAGACAAAACATTTATCTCGACGTTTCGACCCAGGGTCTTCGTCAGGAGATTTGTATGAAAGACTACATCATACTAACTCTCCTGACGAGGGCTCTCAGGTCGAAACGTCGAGAAGTGTTTTGTTTATTTTAGGCAGTTGTTATACCACATTTGATGCTAAGTTGTTTGAAGACGCTGCCATGCTGCTCCCAGGTTATATTGGAACGTATCTTTCTATTTACGTTTTTTTGTTGCCTGTCTAAAGCCAATGAATGCATGCTTTTATTAATTTTTGGCTTTCTCGGACAGACACATGCACTCTGGAATATTTTACCAGGAGGAAAACAAAAATACAATACAACAATACCCGTTAATAATATGAAATACAATTTGAGGAGACCTAGTTTTGCGTAACATTAAATATATGTATAAGCACGTGATAAAATTCTGAAAAATCAGGACAATAAAAGGAAGGAACCTTAAAATTAATTAATAAGGCAGTGTAGTAATACCAAACTTACCAACATTTCAGTCTGGCATGGTGGGGTATTCATGTCAAAACTTCGATCAAAAACCGTTTTTCCTTTACATTTAAAATCAGTATGATGACATTCACTTCTGTCTTGTTGTTTCAAACCCCAGATGATGTTAACAACCAAAACAAGATCTTCTTGACTGTTCTTGAAAGCATTATTATTCAAAACGTCAAACTTCGCCCAGTTTGTGTCACTTCGCCAAACTTTTACCTAAACAAATGTATTAAATTCTATTATTTTTATACGATTCCTATAGGCTATTAGCAGATGTGATCGATTGTCATGCTGACTACGTTACTGTGTAATTGTTAATTTTGTATATATATATATATATATATATATATATATATATATAATTATATATATATCATGATGTAATTGTAATTGTCTTCTACAAGCGCTTTCCAAACAAGATATTTTTTGCCAAAAATGGGAAAAAATGTCGACAAAAGCATCGTTGCGAAGCCCATAACTGTTCTTTTTGTCTAATGTTGTGAATCGAGGGTATATCAGAGGATAACAAGGGACAGCAAAGACAACTGATATCCGAAAATGCTTTGCAGCTAAAAACGTAATACTTACCTGTTCATTGTCGGGTTCAAGTTTAGTGGCGAATGAAATAGACACTCCAATGATAACTATTGATACAACAATTACAAGCCAACGAACATACTTGTGCGTAATAATATTTCTATAAAACCAACCATCGAAAAACCTGATGACATAATCTAAAATCGTCTTTCGCTTTTTTCTCGAAGATCCTCTATCACCACGGCCTGAATGTTCCAGTAAATCATTTTCTGTGATTGAATTGTGATGCGAACAGTAGAGGGCACAACAGCAACATCGACCTTGAGACAAGAGACATGAAATAATCTTAATAGAAAATATAGCGAAATCATGAATACTTTTAGTGTATTTTTTTATCATCAGGGACAACAACTTCCGAAGCCATTGTTAAAAAAATTAACAAATATTCTCCGAAGGTGGAGTCGCTGCATGAAGTGATTGATTGATTGTTGAATATAGCTTTGAAACTTCGGGGACCTAAGTGTGCTTTTTGAGTCATTTTTTAAAAGTGAAAGATCAAGAAATTGCATGGTAATTTTAAGAATTTGACGTGAAATCATTATTCACCTCAGGCTTGGTGAATATCGACTCTGTCTTCAGTTTTCCTCACATTGCTTTATATGTGAAAGCGTTACACATTTTGATATAAACCCCGTTTACAACTTAATTTATTGGCAGGACACAACTAAACTAGTTACCCGTGCCAATATGCATGATTCATAGGCTTTGGTAGCCTAAGCATGGATGAAATTGTGCGGGGAAGGAGATACAGATGGTCTTCTATAAACATAACTTCACCAATCAAGTTTTTTTGTTGTCAGTTAAAATATAGGATTATTACATGATTATAAAAAAGAGGTTATAATTGTTTGAAGTACCCAATTAGGAGATGACCAGACAGTGCAATCTTATATATACGTAAAAATCATACCTTTCCGTCTTAAATGTTGGAAGATTACGACCGTTGGAAGAAACAACATCGCTGAGAGATAGTTGACGAAGATGAGAATTGCCGAGAAAATACCAAATGAAGATATTGACAACAGCGGAGATGGTGCATTGGAGAGAAACGCTACCATTGTTGTAATAGACGTCACAAACATTGTTTTAGAAGCTTTACGATAAACATCTGACAATCGATGTGCAAGACTCAAATATTTGCTACTAGCACTCTGCTTCCATGTATCCAGGAAAACAAAAATGTTATCAGATCCAATACCGAGAATAATAAAGATTGACAACACATGAAATACTCCAAAATATTGATAGTCCAAGACGATCCTGTACAGAAGATTGGTGATGTTGAAACTTGAGAAGATACTGAATATTCCCCAGACAGTTATCCACAAGGATCCAGTTTGAAACCAACAAAATAGGAAGATAAAACATAAACTCGCCATAGCTAACATCATTGCGTTCAGAATTTGACTCTGAAGAGCTGCTGTCCACATGGCGTAGTTGAAATAATAGAATTTCATTCCGCCAACACCTTCTTTATATTTTCTATCGAAAGTCTCCATGAATAATTTAACAATTCGTTTGTCAAGTTCTTTGATTTGCTCATCTTTTCGATCAATGTCACTTCTGTAGCCGTCTAAAGGCCAGCCAGTGAGCAATAAAGATCTGGTGTGTGATGAGGATACTTCAGTTGGTGTAATCTTTGCATGTTTTCCCAAGTGAAAGTTTAAGTAAGCATTCGCCTTCTTGTTCATTCTTGCCGCATATATTACACCAGCGATATTCTCAAAGTTTGGATCATAAAATGTTGAGTTTATTCCAGCATAGCTTCCATCAAAAAATCTCAATATGGATAAAGGTTTCGCACAGGTGCGATTTGCACTTCCATATAGTAAGCACAGCGATTTTTGATAGTCTGAACGATTATATTGTGTCTCTTCAAAGTATTTTATGGTGAGTAAATTCTCCCGTGAAAAAACATTATCGCCTTCATAAACTAATTGAATTGGTTGATATTTAGTGCCTCTCTTGAGCTGTCTTCCACCTAATTGAGTGACTTCCTTATTTTCACTAGCGAATAGCCATGCATCAGTCCGTAGCTTGGTTGAGTCTTCAGGCAAGTCCAGCGGTAGTTCATCGAAATTTACAGGCAGAATATTGTATCCAGAAATGAATAGAACCACGCTAAGGAGTAGCATCAATATGTGCATCGAAAGTGCGATACCTGGAAAAACAACAATAAAACATGGACACTAATAATATAGCAGAGTCACGAAGTATATATATCCGACGTTATAGATATAACCTCCCCCAGTAATATTTCTTGGTGTTTCCAGCCTGTGATTCCTCTTACTCTAACACTCTCTGATTCCTCGTACTCTAACACTCTCTGATTCCTCGTACTCTAACACTCTCTGATTCCTCGTACTCTAACACTCTCTGATTCCTCGTACTCTAACACTCTCTGATTCCTCGTACTGTAACACTCGAAAGTAAGTAAGAACTAAGAGTAAGAGTTCTTCGGGGAACAACTTTTGAACGCAAGTTTAAACCCGGCTCAAAAGTGAAACTGAGATGATTATGTTATTGTCAGCTTCCAAGGTTTCTAGTACTTAAATCTGTTTAACATATGTTTGAAGACATCGATATAAATAAACCGGGATTACCGCATCGGGTGAAATCACGAATTTGAAAGTAGCTACCAAGATGACCGCTATTTACGTATTTGCATTTTTTCCTGGACTATTTATAGATCAGTGAGCCAATACTAACTCGAGCTAAGAAGTGCGGTGTGTATGCCATATATGTATATATATGCCAATGGTCTATGCTGAGAGTAAGAGGAAATTTAGCCCAATCAGATCAAATTCGTGAAGTTTTTGAAAAATAAGTATTGCCTGGGCCAGTTATGTGGTTTGGATCAGAACTTGAGAGTTTTCAAGGCCAAGTATTAAAGATGGTACAATATAAAACAACATGGTACATTGTGATTTATTATGATACATGGCAGCTGAACCAACAGCAACAGAATAACATTCGTCATTTACCGTAAAATTCCGTGGTTTCGTGCGGAATGCAAAATTTTAAACAAGAAAAGGTGTGAACTGATCTCTGGTATCGATTTTGGAAAATATTTTGTATTTTCTTGAGAAAATTATACTTCACAAGGAAAGTACACCAAGATGGCCTAACATTTGACTATGAACAACTGAAATTCATGATGCAGGTTGGTTAGTATTGATATTTGCACATTAGTAAAAGTTGTGTCAGATTTGTGTTGTGTTAAGTAAAAAATGGTTGATGAATCTGCCCCAGAACAAACTTTACTATTTATTGTAGGGCACCACAGTTAATAGAATATACATGGTTTGGAGACTAAATAAAAGTACAATACAGCTCATTAACTATGTTATTGTCCTCATTTATGCAAAAAATGGTCCTCATTTATGCAAAAAACTCCTTTCTCATCACGTGTCTATTGTATTTTAGCCAAATTTACCAATGGCATTCGTCTTGCTAAGCTCCTCATGCAACCTTGACTTGAAAAATATGTTAATTATAAGATTGCTATTGGTTTATCTGTGCAAAATACAATAGACATGTGATGAGAAAGGAACAATTTTTTGCATAAATGTACCTCAACATAGTTAATGAGTTGTATTGTAGTATTATATGGTCTCCAAACCATGTATATTCTATTAACTGTGAGGGCACCAAGGTGTTATTAGTAGCAATATTTGCAACGACTAAGAAAGTAACAATTCCAGCTTGAAATCTTAAAACAAAACTTCAACTAAGTTAAAAATTGAGGCAGTTTGAAGATTGCATGTAAAAAAATTAGAGTAAAGAAGAAATATATCATTGTATGATGCTTTTGCATTTTGCTAATTTAGACCACAAAGCTAAAGCCAACCGTTTTTTGCTTCTTGTAAAACAGTCATTGATTGATGTTCGCAAATTATGATGGTAGAGAAAGGTCATAAGAGCAAATTAGCACTCCAGGGAGGTCTACTTGAAAAACACTAATAACAATCATAAAAATGAATTGTAACAAATTAAATGTTTATGGCGATTTAGGAATTTTATAAAGAAAAGTCTTCATTGACCAATTAGTATGGCTTAATTCAAATGATAAGGCTATATATTATATAATCATTGCTTAATAATAAAGGCAAAAATTGATTGGTTGGTACAGAGTTACCAAGAAGTTCTCTAAAGTATTTCATGAACTCTGTAAAAACAAATGAACTGCTCAAAATATCTTTAAATATTATTGACACTGCTGTGAGGTAAAACAAAGCTGAAAACTACAATGCTGCATGGAGTACTTAGTTTCTTACAAAGAAGCTTAGTAAACTATCTGTGGTGCTCAAGAGGTGTAAATTCACTAGTTGTACAATGTTTGTTATACAGGTACTATAGATGTTAAGAAACACATTTTTTCAACTTTATCTTTCCAAGTCATTATGAAAAAAGGAAGTCAGCCTAATTCTCAATCTAATCATATGAAAATTTTATTTCATGCCCTATAGAATAATACAATCTTACTACATGAGGATGTGCTACTTAAATTAGGCAAGTCAGTAAAGTAAAATTTGGAGTCAGATTTCGAACGAATTATAATCATATTCTTGCATGTTTGCATGGTGACAGTCGATAAGTAATTTAGCTTGTAGGTACACCACGTAAGTATTTAATATTGCAAAGCTTTCGGTCCGTTAACCCAGGCCTTTTATTGCACTGATGAAGGCCGTAATAATACTTATGTGGTGTACCTACAAGCTAAATTATTTATTGAATTATAATCAGTCAGTGCCTTAGACCAGATATAATCAGCCATTTTACACATGGTTTTAAACAACAGCATAACAGCAAAACAATAGTTGGTGTTTCACCATATAGCCTACTGTTCTCCACTTATAAATATGACAATATGGTCACAGGGTAATAAATATAAACTCAGATTTGTTTATTGACAATTCTTCTGAACATTGAAAATGATTGCTTTTTACAATTTACAAATGAGAGCTAGCTTTAATTAAACAACTCAAATTATGTAGTTAAATTATCATGCCATTGCTTGGGAACACTTTTCATTAAATATATTAAACCAAGTGATTTTGAACAAGTGATGAAAACCCTTGTCACAATCTTATGCAATGGTATGAGAATAAATATATCAGGGTATATCCTAGCATGTCTATATACATTATCTATATACATAATCTGTGGCAAAATTGTGACAGTAATCGTGACAGTAAACTTGCCATCATTTCTGTGATTAGACTGCCATGTATAAACTTTGATAAAGAAAGCCCATAACAGAATTACCTGACAAATATCACTTATTACGTATATCATTGCGCCAACTGTTTTCAGGCGAAATCAAAATAATACTGTGTGCTAGAGTCGTATATCAAAATAAGTTAAGTACTTTATAGTATGTGTAAGATAACACATATTTTTTTCAAACGACTGTAGCTCAAAATGTGCCATGCTTTTTATTATGATATTAAGTATTAACCATTGAAAGCCCCATTCAAACAACGCTTTGTTATATTGTAACTCCACAATCCGACCTTCTTCCCAGAGTAAAAACTTTATTGATAAATTTTTAAACCACGTATATGATTAGATGAAGAGTCGTGCTCGGGAAACATGATACTTGTTATCATATGGAAGTAAATACAAAGTTGTAACTTACCAAATGCAAATTTCGGTCTCGCTACAATGACCGCACATAGACGAATAACGTTGCTTGATTTAAAATATTCCACATCATCTTCTGAAGATCTGTTGTTTCTTGTTTCGACATGATTCTCCTGTGTTTCGATGTGATTCTCAATGGGCAAAAATTCAGTTATCTGCTCGTCGCTTGCCATTATTAATTCTTTTTAAAAAAATATTTTATTTCAGCCTCTTCGAAACATCACAAGATGAGTAGAGGACGATTCCTTTATTACACTCTGATATTCCCTTCTTTATGGCAAAATTCCATATTGCCTGTCATGCAGGCCCCCACCTTGGCTTCTCCCCCGGGGGTTATACCCGCTGGTGAGAGAAACTAGCCTAACTAACTATGAATCAACATAGTTGTTAATGCTTTACGCGACAATTTCGGCAAATGCTTATCATATAGTCACGCTAAGGTGCTAGACTACTAGAGCAGGAAATATGCAATCATACATTTCCCTCACACTTGTTAATATAATGGCACGTACAGTAAGAGTGATTAATGAACTTACCGTTATTGAACTAACTCCCCAATCTTTTGATGAACTGTGCATGGAGTTTATTCCTTACAATCTGTAAGACGTTTTCATGTTTATGGAATATTTCGCTCTGGTCTTTAGAAGAAGGATGAGGGGGGGCGTGGAGTAGGAGTAGCAAGATCTCGTGTGTGTGAATGTCTTTATAAGAATTCCATGATGAATTTTGTCAAATAAAGACGATAGTAAAGCAGTATAAACGTCTTTCTTTAAGGATACAAGATGAATTTGAAAGTCATGTGCAATTATTTGACAGGTGTTCTACCACCCGCTGACTTAATTTGGCAATGTTCATTTGCATTTGCTTTGAGCAGGTTTTGAAAAAATTCCAGTCTGCAGTGTTTGTCAATTCCTCTTGTCACATTTACCAACTTCGTGATTCGAGACTTTCGATTCTGGAGTATAACGCGTGGTCTTACCCTTCGATTTCTGCAAAAATGCTTTTAAATGCATGCGTGATGCGTTAACGCCGTTACATGCGTTTCAAAAGTGCCTTGTCATCTTTCATTTCGTAAAGTACCTCTTATCGAACTATGCAATTATGAGCTTAAGATTCTTCGAGATGATAGTTGATCGATGATTGCAAAGCCGTAATAAACTTTCGCATAACAAAAATGGAGAATGAGAGAAGCGAGAGAAGAATATTTAATATTTGGATGATATATAATGATTGATTTTCTTCTCAGATGCATGGGAATATTTGTTGGTGCATTTCAACATACTCCAAGCTGCTAACAGCTTCATTCGCAGATAATTTTCTCGACTAAAAGTCACGAAAGATATCTAGGTAACTAGGTTGATATTATCTTCGAAGAATTTTATGAAAGTTTTAAGTTGCGCATCCGGAACTGCGGTGTGTGGGTGTGTGAGTAGTGTAATAACAGAAAGTTTTTAAAATTATTCGGTGACCATGCTCATTGCAGGTACCAAGTAGTGAGGTCGGTCGGCACATTAGGAAAGGAGTGTTAGCGACATTGAAACAAATAATTGGGTATTCCTCCTCTTTAATTAAAATCATGTCATTCCAAGCCAAGTTTGATACAATCAATTAAAGTGTCAATACAATATCCTTTTACATGCGAATTTAATATTTAAAGGTTCAAATTGCGTTTAGAAATTAAAGGATTGCATATTAAGAACAAACCAAGAACGCTGAGAACAACTCGGAACCCGCAAGTAAAGCAGCATTATCTGTCATCTTTGCTTCTTAAGGGCGTTCTCACTGTCCCGGATATACGTTATATAGTGTTTACTAATGAATCTCGAAGTGGCGTGATCTACATACAGAAGATGTCAAGGTAAAGAAATGTATTCCATGGATATACGACTATAGTCTACATCATATCTAAGAAAAATTACTCCCTATAAGGAACAAATAACTATGTCATCGTCAGTGCAAATAAATAAATGATAGTAGTATATAAAAAATGGCGAATAACATGCAAGACCAACTCATAGGCCTAATTTACATCATTTTGACTTTATTTTGCGTCAATTACTCTAAAACAAGTCTCAGTCATTCTGCCGTCAGGGCATCTCAAATCTTCCTGAAATGCACCATGTTAAAATCTAGGAGAGATTGAATTTTGACATTCTCACATTTCATATGATTGTCCAACTGTGTATATCTTGTATCTACACGGAGAGGCTGCTCTGTCAACTGGTCATTTCTGTTCTCCCTAGAGTTGCACACAAGAGTTCGTGGACTTTGACTGACGTAATTAAGCTGGTAATCTTCCAGGACGCTCAAACTTCCACTGAATCGCTCTTCTTTCTTTGCTGACGAAAGCGGTAAAGAATTTGTAAATTGAGCTAGTATTGTGTCACCATTCTTAATAATATCAGAAATTTTATTTTCCGTATTGGATGTTGTTAATGTTATATTGGGTACTACCCTGTTCTTATTTGAATTTCCTCCTGACATTGAACCAAGGATTTTTTGCTTGGTGTGATCTTCATTGCAAACCTTAAACCGACTGCTGTAATAAGTGTCCTTGTCCGCGTCAACCTCGCTCATAATATTTTTTGATGAATCGGGTTTCGTCTTTTGACTTCCTTTGCTGTAAGATCCAAATGCTTTGTATTTTTTGGACGATTTCTCCGATATTTTTTCGTCGCATCTCTTCTCGTGCTTCAAATGTCTACAACAACAGAAACTTTTCAGTGGCGGAAGTTTTTCCTGAAAAAGAGAGTTGTTTCGAGCTAAATATCCAGTCAAACATTTTTGTTTGCAATCCAAATGATCTCTTTGTAATATCGCATTAATATTCTTGTTCATTCGTGTTACGCACAATGACATATTGCTCCAACTACACCAAGTACTTATAACTTGTATATGACCTCCAAGCCTTTAAAAATTAGCTGTATAGAGCGCAAAATGATCTACCAGCTTCATCTAGTTTATCGTTTTGTAAACAGAAGATAAACACACAAAATATCGTTGATACTTGTTATTATCCACTGTGTGTAAATGGGAACATGCACGTAACCATAGCCACCGTACCACCTGCTATATTTCGGCCTAATAAATTAAAATTTTGCATGTATTTTAAAGCATTGAAGAAAATGCTGCTGGAAAGACGTAACTATCAGACACAGACATTAACTTAAATCGTAGAAATGACGTAATTCTACTCCGTGGAACAAGATTTGAGTTTTAAAAAATGCATGATGAAAACAAGTTTACTGCGATATTTCGACTCTAGCTATTTCATTGTCAAGTCATTATGAATAATTTACCAGCATTCATATTTTATGTGCAAACTAATGAAACAGAATTAACAGATAATACAATATCATAGGATATTGGAATGTATATAACACTATATACATGGTTTCTGTATCATGTGAAAAAATTAAGAGACCAAGAGATATTCAGGCGATTTTAGCCCTTTATCGCTAATGCACGGGCTTAATTCTCCTATTTTTGATTGAAAGGCTTTAAGAGTAGAATTGGGTGAAACTCCGAATTTAAGGGATAATATGCATGGTAATACGCTATACGTTGGTTTGAGAAATCATAGTGGAATGAACTTTTAAATTTCCAGAGAGGAAATTCAGGAACCTTAGATTTCAAATTACCATGTGCACCTCCCGCGCTTCCCACCAAGGAACGAAAAACGGTTGTGATACTACACTACTAGATGTTATGATGTTTTTGGGCCAGGCCAGGGATAGCAGCCTTGTAGTGTCGGAATATGTTACCTTACCGCAGTGTTCGTTTTATCTGCTAATTTGATGAGACACAATAGACCGAGCTGAGAAAGAGACAATAAACATTCAATTAACCATTTCTGCCACGGGATTCCAGGTCGCATTCCATTTTCATACCTAACTGAAGTAGATCAGTGTCAGGAAGTAAATAATTTAGTGTAAAGTATTTAGTATTGAAATGTCAAGTATTTAATGTCTTAAACAAACACGTGCCTACTGTCGTGAGTGACTACTGGCCTCTCTTACTTGACGAAACCAAATATGCTCCCACACTGGTATTGCGAAGTTCATATCTGCCAGTCTGACCACTTGTACACGAATGCGTGTGCATGGATGCATGGAATATCAAAACTCTCGCCGCCTTGTGATAATAGTTTGGAACTGAAATACAACTCGATATTTTGTTATTTATTGCTTGATGTTATTTATGCTATTCATTGATGTTTTGGAATCATCAGTCATGGACCTAGTTGGCTCAGAAATGTTATGAATATTGCTTTTGTTAGCGTCAATATCATACATATGACTTTATCATTACATCACATTGTCCATTAGGAGAAAGAAATTTTGTATGCTGTAACATTAATGAACTTACATTTACTATGCTATCAAGATCATGCAAGTACGAGGTAAATAATTTAGAAACATTGTACCATTTCATTACCCTACGAAACATGAAAAATAGAATTTCTAAACACAGTACAAACTCTGTTAACGTTTCACTAAATATGTTAAATTATACCCAAATATCATACATTTCATATTCTGCCACCTACTGCTTGATCTTCACTACAATAACGAAATATATCAACCGCTTTGTTCCCAGAAAATTGAAAGTTAATTAAGCAAACACAGACACTGTTTGCATGTTATTTATCAAAAAGAACCAGAAACATCAATGAGACAATGTATTCAGGACCCGAGCTGAAACCATAGTCAATAACTATTCTATGTTTTGATCTATTTTCGTGGGAATAAGGGCCTGCAATCATGCTGTACACCTTCCTGTAATGAAAATGTCTTTAGATTATAAAATTTGTTCCGTAGAGCAAATAGTATCATAATATCTTGGGTGATCTGTCACAGTGCAGCTACAACTGATCTTGTAATTGAGAAATTGTTCCATAAGCCTACAAGTTAAAGCCAAAACTGTAAGTTTACTGGTTAAAACCAAAACGATTTGACGAGCAACCCTTTGCATGTACTAATGAATTAGACAAAATAAAGTAAAGTAGAGTGAATTTCTATTTAAGGAGAACACATCAAAGATACATTTGTTATCAATGTATGTCCTGGCTAGGTTCTTTAAATATTATAAATAACTATTATAATATATCCATAAACTTCCAAATCAGCTATAAGGGCTTTTGACACGCTACAACGGATTCCGGAGGATTGATTATAAAATTTACGGAAGTTAATTTATAAGCCATGAAATAGAAACAAACGTTTAACTGCATGAGGACTGCATAAAAGCATCGTCAAATCAATTTTTGTTTATAGAACAACTGAACAGAGAATGAAGACAATCTTCGTAGTTTTTATTGTGCTTTTGGCCACTTTTTCGACCACGCAATCTCTTAGTTGCAGTTGTGAAGGAGTATCATGTACTCCTGTGAACAAACTGAACTGCAGAGGAGGATTTACATTGGGACTGTGTGGGTGTTGTAAAGTGTGCGCCAAGCTTGAGGGAGAGGAATGTGGTGGACTATGGGACACACTTGGAAGATGTGACAAAGATTTAAAGTGCGAAACGGAATCGGATCTTCCGGATTGGTTATCTCAGGGTAAAGGAAAGTGTGTGCCAGGTTAGTGACGTCATGATATTTCGTACAGTAAAAAAACACCATAATACTTAACAAGTTAAGAAAAACTACAAACTAAGCATCACTCAGTGTAATAATGTATAAACCATCTCGTATTTGGAGGGCGCAAGCTTCCAAGGACACTTTGGATGGTAAAAAGTGCAGCTAAAATGCAGCCTCGTACCAGGCGCTTTAAAATAGGCGACTACAGTTTTTTTATATAGATCTTCGGCTGAGCGAGTGCGCGGGGGGGGGGTGCTAAAATGTTTATAGGGTGACCATGGGCAAAGCTGCTGAAAGTTCGCCAAGTTTATTCCCGTGCTTCTAAATAAATTTTATTGACTAAACGTTTCACTGCTAGTGAGCTCAAATTATCAAATTATCCAGTTCAAGCATGGGATTTCAAAAAAGACTAGCACTATAATCTACAGTATTATGTCATGTGACGATGTTGTCATTTTACTATGTCGTCATCTTGCTCAATGAATAAAACCTTAGTTTGGAAGTGTTGGTGTTAATTCAAGCCAATGTATTTTTTATCCCTGCATGCTTTATGACTCGTGTCAAAGGTTTAGTTCTTTTTCTTTGTGTTTGAAAACAGTTGAGAGAAAAACCTGAAGAACAGATTACTTTGAAGACAACTGTCCACTGAAGACATTTCATTTTTGTTATATTATATACATCTTGTAATTTCGTGTACGTTTGTGTTAAGTTTTTTTCCTGAGTAAGCAATTAAATAATTCTAATCAGTTTGATTTCTTGTTTATTTTTGCATAAATACTTTTGTCAGCGACTGCGGAATCGTGGGGAGGGGGAAAGGGTTGCCCCAATCTTTTTAACTAAATACCAAAGAATCTCTTCCTTTCAAGTTAAGTATTCTCAGGCAATAAAACTATGATCAAGTTAGACGGAGTTTACGTTGAAAGAAATTCAAAACATGCAAAATTTGGGTCATTTCTAAATCATTAATCATAGGGTCCCCAATGTTATGAGCAGAACTGATGCGCAGAAGCCGCTGTGAGCTGTCTCGAGGATGATCCCCGATAAATTATCGAAGTGTGTTTAGATAAACCAGTTCCATTATCGTAAAGCGAGAGCTTTGAGATTCCATGTCTTTGTCTAACCGGCAGAAGTTTTGCCTGTATAATGTCGATTGTAGGATACTTAAGTATGATATTAATATCCTGTCAAAAAACTTTATATGAATGTTTTTAATATGAACAGCGACGATAAATATTATAAATTATAGTATAATTATATATAATTACATGAATTAAACCGCTATTGTATTTACAATATAGCTACAGTCTATAGACAATATATTAAATATGGAATGGGATAATAATAATATCACGAACAGCAAGCAGTAGCTTGTATAATTTACTACATTACATCATCATAAAACTATGACAAAAAATCATGCTAAGGCAGAATGAATTAAATTTACAACAGAAATTGCAATATTCCTCTCCAATAGAGCAACTAATGGTAATTAAAGTACCAAATTGATATAAATTACAAATATTCACAATTATTTAAATGTCAATTCTGGATGCTCGTATCGAGAAACCTTTTGTCGTCTTAAAGCCTAGCTCCCATTTGGCTGTTGTTTAGTACGTGAAACAATATCAGGCAGATATCGTTTCTGAAAAACTTTTTGTCTTATTCGGTTGTATTTCATCTCAACCAGCCACTACCGTTGTGAGAGGAGTGTAGAACGAAATAAATGGCAACAATAATTTAGAATTACATTTGTTTCAAACTAGCGTTGAATATTTTTTTCATATAGATTGCATTTCATGATCAAGACGCATATACGAATAGTAATTTAGGTATTTTAGCCCAGTGCTTAAAAAACAAGTGGAATGTGAAAGAAAATCAAAGTGAGGCTCCCTTTTTCTTAGACGTGCACGAAGACTCAATTTCTTGCTTAGTTGTGGAGTTACTGTTTTTTCAATCTAAATATTTCCTCCATGACTGACGGTAAGAGTGAAATATTACTTACGATAACAAATGAGTACCATTACTTCATGTTAGCACCTGCTGATAAATTTGTTTGAAATATCAAAAATTATATTCATGCTAGTTAAACGTTAGTTGGATTGGCTGGTCTTCTCTCACCATTGCCCAACATTCCTGATGTTTCATCCTCTTCCGAAGCTTCCAGTAAACCAAGTTGTTGTAATCGCTTTCTTTCCTTCTCTTTCTTTTTCTCTTCATCACGTTTATCCTTCTCCTGCCGTCTGCGATTCAATTCCTTCTGGTAGAATTGCTCGAAGTTTGACACCACCACAGGAACTGGAAGAGCTATACTTAGGACACCTGGAATAGAATAAATATATTTTCAGTGTCAATATAAGCAGCCGAACTCCGCGTCATAATTTGAACGGGAGAAATTTTTCGGAAATTTGTCAACAAAGTTTTTTCCCACACTATCTTGATACATTGGCGCAAAATTCTTGCAGGCAAATATCGCGCAATGTGTACAATTTTCGATTAAGTATAAAATTTCGTTGAAACGTTAAACTTTTGATCGGTGTGAGTTAGGAAAGTGCAGGTACAAAAAAGGACCTCATCTGGAAATAGGGGACACATACTGACGAATCCATTCGAGGTGCCTTTGTTGAGAGAATATCAATATATTCTTCTAAACGGGCGGATCATTTTGCTAATATTTACCCTCAAAAAGGACCTTCAGAGCTCCCATAATTGTACATCAGTACATATTCTGCCTAATTAAAGACCTAAATAATATGGTGGGCAGGAAAACGTTTTTGAAAACAAATACTCAAACTAAATTTTTTGAGAACACTCCCTCAAATTAGCGGAAAACAAATACTTAATTAAAAAATGTTTGCATGGTGACATCAATAAGTAATTTTGCTTGTAGGTTAGTAGGTACACCACGTAAGTATTTAATACTGCAAAGCTTTTGGTCCGTTAACCCGGGTCTATTACGTAGTGCATCTACAAGCTAAAGTGCTTAAATACTTAATCACTCAAAAGTGCTCTGATTCTCAATTGGTCGTTCCATTAATAATTTCAAGTTTTAACCATTCTTACCAGCAATCACACAAAATCCACCAGTTATTTTTCCAAAGAAAGTTGTTGGATACACATCGCCATAACCTACTGTTGTCATGGTAACAATTGCCCACCAAAACGAATGAGGAATACTATCGAATCCAGAGTCTGGGGACAAAAACGAAAGAAAATATACTTTAGTATATGAGTTTGCCAGCTGACATTTGTCGAACTACGTCGCAAGGCACTTTCCACAACAGAAACAAGGTCTATTCACAATGGCGGTCAAGTTTGTTCTGGTTTCTCAGTCAGTCTACTATAGCCTTAAAAATCGGCTTAAACTCAGTGATGAGAAATTATCTGATCTCATGACTTACTCAGCCTGACAATAGACTAGAAAACAGATTTTGCGGGTTGTTGAACTCGACCGCGGTTAAGACTTTTCTGCTTGCCCGCGGTTGTTGCAACCAATAGTAACACCCGCGTTTAATACATCACAGCATCAACAAATAAATAAATTTTCATACAGTCTGACTAAATTGGAATTGTTTTAAAGCGACATAATGCAGCCCATGCAGCCCTGTTTTTTTCAGATTATTTCGCAATTGTTTTGAAAATAGGATACTTTTTAGTATATTCAAAGCGAAAACGTTCCGGCCTATTCCAAGCGAAAAAGTTGTGGCCGAGTCATGAATAAGCAATTTTGAACATTCTCGAAAATTTCGTAATAAGTGTTAAAAGTTACACATGCTCATGCAATATACTTAGAAAATACTGTGTCTAAAGCGTCTAAATTCCACAAGCAATTGATATACAGAAATTACAACATGCATAATTATACCGTAGGTTTTTCAGACGCTGTCACGCATGTTTTTGCGTCTTAAATATTAATAATTAACATATGGAGCGAATTTGATTCCAAATGATAATTTAAGTTTTAGACCAAAAAGTATTTTTGTATCTGCAAAGCTGGGAAAAGTGTTTTTAGTGGACGACATGCGTATACATGCATATATTAAATTGTATTTAAGATAAAATGTGCTCCATAAAAATCCACACGGCATTTGAAGGATTGGAATTCTTTATTCGCTAATTATGTGACTTCACGCCTAATGTTTCATGTTTGAGAAATACCGTGATTATCCGGCTTTTTTACAGTATATTGTAAAGACAGATTAACAGCCGTTTTAGCCAACTAAGTAACCGTCTCGAGCTCAGTAAACTCTCCCCAATGTGGTTTTTACATGAAGTTTTATGGTAACCCACATATAGTTATTTTATTGAAAGTGTTCACTTCAACACTAATATAATTTTATTTGTCAACTCAACGAGCCTTTAAGTAACATAAAGTAAAAAAATTATTTACCTTCGCCCAATTCAGCATAGTAAATACAGCTACCAAATATCATAACACCAATAAAGAGGAAAAATCCCAACATGACAAGCTCACTGAATGAAGAACGTAACGTGTTTCCCAGGATCTGAAGTCCTCTTGAATGCCGTGATAGCTTAAAAACACGAAACACGCGAACGACACGAACCACGCGAAGGACAGCAATACTGCCGCCAACATCTTGAACAAAAATAATAAAACATTTATTAGACCAGATTAGCTAATCATAGACTAATAAAGGCTGATAATTAACAAGCTACCTGAAAACATTTCTAAGAATAAAATAAGGCTTCTTAAGATGTATCAAGCCATCAATATTTGGAAATATTTGGATTCCTCGCGAGGAATTGCGATGACGATAAGCTGAGAATTAGGTCCAGTCAATAAAGAGAAATAACGTAAATTATAGCAGCTATTTGTCGATTGTTTCTCATGAATTTGACTTACACATCAGTAGCTGGACTTTTGATTAACGCCTAGTCTAACATTTAAGCCTATCGTCACATGACGTAGAATCAAATAGTTTGTTTTGATAGTCATTATAGTCCTAATAGTTTCCTTAAAACAACGAGATTGACCAGCCTTCCTTGCGATACGATCTTGCCTTTCTTAAGTCGTTTTGAAAATAAGTTTTTTACCGTTATTTTGTCCTGCTGGAGTTTTAAAACACTCCGCGCATTACCAATATAGAGACAATTGTAACATGTTTTTGATTCAGAGGAATTGGAAAAATCTCTCAAAACTATCATACGTGCATGTTCTCTTAAATCTGCTTTTCTACTCTACTGGACATCTTAAAGTAGCCGATTGTTGTTTACGATAAAATGTATTATACCTTGAAGTGCAAGAGTGACATAGTACGGCAGAATACTCAGCATATCAATCACATTCAGTGGAGCTACCAAAAATGTAGCAATATTCGGACACGTTAATAGACGAATGACAAATTCAGCAGTAAACCAGCCAATGATTGCACTGTTAATCACAAACCAGACCTCCTCATACGGATTCACAAAGTTATCTTTCTCTGGGCACGATGTTATATTTCCTGGGCAATCGGGAGGTTTGGGATTGAACACGGGCATTGTTTCCAAGCAGAAGATAACCAGGGAAGCAGAGATAATGATGACTGAGAGAATGGCGAGGATTTTAGCAAGTTTAGATGTGTCAGGGTACTCCATTGTTTCCCAAATCACTTTACGAATCGGATTACTTGGCATCGGTCGCTCTTCCTCCTCGTCCAGAACACCGCTCTCGATCTGGAATTCATCCACAATTTCCTCCGGAAGTTTGAAGAAAACGCATTCTTTGTAAAACACATGAACAGGGACAGATTCAGGCCTGATTAACGAGCCATTGCTTTGGTAGAAATAAAGAATCGCTCCGAATGAACCTCGGTGTCGATCGAAAAAATATTCCCCTGTGTCTGAGTTGAAGAATTCGGCTCTTGTCGTTGCGCATCCGAGAAGCGTATTCGGAAACAGTTCCAGAGTCTCTTCAAATGTTTCGAAGCGCTTTCCACTGATATTGATCACAATAGATTTCCCAGTTGCCTGATATGATTTCGTACGAGAAGCCTCCATAAGCGCTCCGTGTGCTGATAACGTATTGTTTAGTAAGTGTCCTATGACAGAGTCATTGCCGGTACCTCGAGAAGCGTTTATTGTTGATATCATCATTATTCCGCAAGCGAATGTTTTTCTAGTTTTTGGTAAAATATTATCGCAATCACGCGACGTTACCTGCTAACCTCAAGGAAATTTTTGAATATTTTCGAAAGTGACGTTTTCAAAATTATCGATTTAAAACACTACAAACGATTCGAACTGCTACGAAGAGTCTTCCTCACTTGCCCGCTCGGGATGAAAAGCGGTGAAACATCAAATACACGGACCAATCGTCTGTATGCATTCATATACAAGTATCTCAGTTGGGTTTTGTTGTCAAACCGAGTTTTCTGGTTGGGCAATTAAGCAATGATTAATATTGCATTATCGTAACCACAATCGCTTGATGCGTTCTTACGAAAGATCCAGAGATAGCGTTTAGGGTTAGATTCTAAAAATCAACGTTAAGTATTTTCAAAGATAATTACTTAATGGGTTAAAATTTCCATTTAAAGTCTGATGCCCACTTTTATTGCCAATCACTTTCGTAATCTTTCGTAAAAATCACCGGCTATTTTAAACTTATAATATATTGGGTATTAAAAATTAACGAGCCGTATAGCTTTGCTAAAAATTTTAAACATAGGGGGTTCATGAGTTTAGTATTTATTCCTGATATTAAATATCACATGCACTTTACATTCTTATTTCTGGAAGAACAGGACGTAGTTATGTATAAGAAGTCGAAGTTAATGAAGGTTAAAAATATTTTAATTAGTTTTCGAAGACAATTGCTATGGAGACTAATAGTTTCATTTTGTGTACGATAACAGTCTATACCATAAGCATAACATTGGCTTTGTGTCAGGAAAACCTGATAAATATATAGTTAACTTGTTGTACGTAATAAAAATATCAACATACGTTATTGCTAAACATTTACAAACTTCACTATATAAACCTTATTTAATATTCTTTAACTACAGTCTGGTGATTAAACAAACTTCTTTTCCTTTTTCCTACTAAACTAAATTGGTTGCTATGCATGTCAAATGTCAATAACATCGGATTATAATTTATGCGGGACAGTTGCATGTGGTCTGCTTGAACTGTGTATATAAACTGCGTGATAAATACGGACAATATATGAGACCGTCGTCTGTGCATGGGTCGAACTATAGCGGATTTAATATGCAGAACTGATAGATTTAATTGAAGATTTTACAAGTCAATTAAAACGATTTTAACATTCTTTCGATCAATGATTTGTCACTTTGAACATAAAAAATTATCATTCCCCAGTGATGAGGATTTATCTTGCCTAGTGCAACGACTGCTTATATAGCATGGCATTGTGCATATATTATTATATATGAAAACATATTATTTTAGACAAAGGCGACAGACTGGAATAAATTTCCTCTGTATTAAATAATCATGAACAATATAGAGAACCACAACTCTCCACGTTTTTCAATTTTACCCAGGCATTGATTAACATTTCCTCGGCCCGTTTAAAGTTCAAGATTATCGTTTGTTAAAATTGCTTTGCACGTTCTTGAGGACGCTATTCGCGCAAACGGTTTAAACTATAATTATGTATGTATATGCTGCCATTTGAGATCCTGTCAGTTTAGCCTTTGTCAAACTATGTCTATCCTATAGGACATGATTATTACTTCAGCAGCACTTGAAGCTATACTTACTAAAATACTTGTTGAAGATTATTAGATACGAAAAAGGAACTGTAATACAGTTTCATATATATAGATCAGTTTTGGATCATGTGACTTTTGTCAAACACGTTGTTATTTCGTTTCATCTGGTTTCGTCAGTTTATAATATATTATCTCATGAATATGTAGTGTGTTTCTTGCTTTAAAGCCGAACTATGTAGTTCAAATTTAACAGGTTATGGGCCCAGAGACGCCGTTCGGCTTTTATGAGTTTAATATGAGAGATTTGATGCGAAATCAACGAGTTTGGGGCCAATATATTTACGAAGTTTAATCATGGCGTCAGGAACTAGTGACGAACATGCATCGTTGTTGCGAATTGAAAAGTTCCGCGGGGAGAACTTTCACCTTTGGAAATTTAAACTTCAAATGGTACTTGAAGAGAAAGACCTATGGGGCATTGTAAAAGGCGACGAGATCGAACCTACGGGCGAGGAAATTACTGATGCTCAACGCCGACAATTCCAAAGGCGAGAAAGAAAGGCTCTCGCGACGATTTGTTTATCATTGGGGGATGAACAATTATCGTTAGTTCGTTCAGCTACAACTGCAAAAGAGGCATGGGCCAAATTGGAAAGTCACTACGAAGTTAAGTCATTAGCGAATAAATTGTTTTTGCGTAAAAAGTACTTTACGATGTCCATGGGGGCGGATGAGTCGATGACTGAGCATATCAATAAAATGAAAGAGCTGGCAGGTCAACTGGAAGCTGTAGGTGCATCCATAACGGAGGATGACCAAGTTGCGACGCTCTTATGTAGTCTGCCTGAGTCGTATGATGGTTTGATCACTGCTCTAGAGTCCCGTGCTGATAACTTAACATTAGAATTCCTAACAGCCAGGTTACTTCATGAGGAACGCAAGCGAAAGGAAAATCTGTCAAGCCCAGATACTGGAGAGAAGGCCTTGTTATCCAAGAGTGATCGAGGTAATCACAAGAATTTCCGAAGCAAAAGAAAGGGTAAGTGTCACAATTGTGGCTTACCAGGACATTGGGCAAAAGAATGTCGTAAACCAAAAAGGGACAAATCGAAAGAAGACAAAGAAAGGAAAGAAGGTTCATCATATAATGCATCTACTGAACATGCATCATTCTGGTCATCAGAAAGTCAAAATCACAGGGATTTGACGTGGTACATTGACTCGGGTGCTTCACAGCACATGTCATATGACAAGGAAATGATGGTGGACTATGTTGACTTCACTAATTCACAAAAGGTTCGTTTGGGGGATAATCGAGTTGTTCAAGCATTAGGTAAAGGGAATATTTGGCTTAATATCAAAACTGGCAATGAGTACAAACGTGCAAGATTGGTTGATGTTTTGTATGTCCCAGACCTGGCAAAGAATCTATTCTCAGTAAGTGCGGCTGCTAAGCGAGGATATTCAATTAAACTTCATCAGAGTGGGTGTGTCATTCTTGATAAGTGTGGAATATGATGGGATCTGGTAAGCTGCAAAACAATCTGTATGTCCTTGATGTGAGTGTAAAGAGTGTTGATTCTCATGATGTCAATGTTGCTAAGAATGAGCATCTTGAAGATTTGTGGCATCAAGGTATGGACACTTAAGTACGAACAATTTGCGATTATTAAAAGATCAAGAATTAGTGTCTGGACTAAAGTTCCAAACAGCTGATAAATCTGAGTTTTGTGAAGGCTGTGCGCAAGGCAAACAGAAGAGAGCATCATTTCCCAAGGGAGAAGCAACTCGAGCTAAAGAAATTCTTGAAATTGTACACAGTGACGTTTGTGGGCCGATGCAAGAGAACAGTTGGTGGTAATCGTTATTTTGTGACCTTTATTGATGATAAGTCCAGATTCACAGCAGTTTATTTTATGAAAACCAAAGATGAAGTGCTGGAGAAGTTCAAAGAGTTTGAAGCAATGGTTACCAATCATACGGGAGAAAAATCAAAATCCTTCGATCAGACAATGGTGGTGAATACATCTCAAAAGAATTTATCAATTACCTCAAAGAAAAGGGAATTCAACGTCAACTCAGTGTACCCAGAACCCCTCAGCAGAATGGAGTGGCAGAGAGAATGAATAGAACAATTCAAGAAACTGCACGATCTATGATGCACAATGCAGCACTCGATAAGAAATTTTGGGGTGAGGCAGTTCACACAGCAGTCATAATCAGAAATCGAAGTCCTACAGTTGCGGTGGAAAACATGACACCATACGAGAGCTTCTATGGAAAGAAACCAGACGTGTCTCAATTCCGAGTATTTGGATGCAAAGCATATATGCATGTTCCCAAAGAAGACAGAAAGAAATGGGATTCAAAGACAAGATGCATATTTGTAGGATACAGTATTTCAAGTAAGGGATATAGACTTTATGATCCGAAAGCTCGAAAAATTCATGTGTCCAGAGATGTTTTATTTGATGAAGATGAATTTATCCGACGTGAAAAGAAGAAAGAAATGATAACCCTGAGTGACTCTGATCATGAGGAAGAACCACAGAAGATCAATCAGACCTCAATACCACCAACTCAACGAAATGAAGACACGATTGATCGTCCTGACGAATCAGATATCAGGAAGAAACTGAAGTAAAGGAACAACCGCGACGCTCATCTCGCAAACGAGAACCGCCGGATAGGCATGGTGTATCGATTACTGGTAATTGGTGGCAAAGTAACACAGCGTGTGCGGATAACGAATACAACTTCGATGAGCCAGCAACAGTAGGTGACGCTCTAAACAGTTCTAACAAAGCACAGTGGAAACGAGCACTGGACAACGAATACTCTGCACATGTAAAGAACAATACATGGACATTAGAAAACTTACCTGAAGGTCGGAAAGCTATCGATAGTCGTTGGGTATTCAAAGTCAAATACAATGCGGACGGATCTGTTGAGCGCCATAAAGCTCGTCTAGTTGCAAGAGGTTTCTCACAAGAAGCTGGTTTGGATTATGAAGAAACGTTTTCACCAGTGGCAAAGTATAAATCAATTCGTTCATTGTTGGCAATCGCAAACCAATTAAACTTAGAAGTACATCAGATGGACGTTTCTACAGCTTTCTTGAACGGTGAATTGGAAGAAGAGATATACATGACTCAACCAGAGGGATATATAAAAGAAGGAGAAGAAGAGTTAGTCTGTAAGCTAAACAAAAGCATTTACGGACTTAAGCAGTCATCAAGGTGTTGGTATAACACCATTGATCAATTTCTGAAGAACTCTGGTTATGTTCAATCAAGCTCAGACCCTTGCCTGTACATAAAGCGAGAGGGAGATGATATCATGCTTATCGCTTTGTATGTTGACGACCTCATACTAGCTAGCAACGCTACGACGATGCTACAAAGAGAAAAAGAAGCGTTAGGAAAACGTTTTGAAATGAAAGATCTTGGAGAAGTTCATTATTGCCTTGGCATTCAAATTGAACGCGATAGAGAGAAGAGACGAATGAAATTACATCAGTCACAGTATCTTACGAGTTTGCTAAAGAAATTTGGAATGGAAGAATGCAAACCAGTTGCAACGCCTGCCGATCAAGGAACCAAATTACTACCTAATGATGGAGAACCAGTCGAGAAAACCAAGTATCAAGCGTTAATTGGAGGATTAA